CCGTGTACGATTAAATGAATTGCTGCTGTGACATTCCGAAAATTATAAGTAAACATTAAATGCAAAACAAAATGTATTGGAAAACTTTAATGAAAAAAATAACTTGGTGTATTGTAAATGACATGGCATCATTGTAATTGACTGACAACATTTTTTAAGAAAATACACGTTTGATGTGCCAATTTATTGTAATGAGCCGGTACGTCCAACCACCGTTGGGCCGCAATTGTATGTAATAATCTGGCAGTCATTACATTATATTCAGAAAAAATATTGAACATTGGCAGTATACGTTTTAAGTTTTATTTAAAATGTTATTAACATTTATTAGTGTATTATAGTTATACAGTTCGCTTGTACGGCTATGGAATGCTTGCATTTTGCAAATCGAAGCGTTGTTCGAGGTTCGAACCATGCCGCCCCCGCTCACTCGGGAGGCTGCATTAGGCCGGCGTCGATGGCCGGTTAATAGCGCCCTCCCCGTCCCCGCCCGTTCACAATTCGCGTCGCCGCTATTGACCTGGCCCTCCGTGCATTATGTAGGATAGGAGGACACTTCGAAAAAAATTGTTCGTTTTTGGTTTTTGTTTTTATTGACACGAGTTTTTCTTGCTTGACGACACATGACACGTATTACGTGGAAAAACTAATGACTTTCGGGAGATTCGAAAAAGCATGCTTGACTTTTCCCTAGGCCCATCTATTATGCGTGACCATCGCTTAGGTTGCTATCGCGAAAAATTCTAAGGTCTTTATCGATACAAATTGTTATGACGGTCTTGCAGTGAGCTGCAATTGTTAGTTTGGGTCGTTGGTGGGATGTTTTTTTTTTTCAGATTGTTCTTCATAGTATTGCTAACGTCGTGTGTAGGGATCTACCACAAGGAACAGACACGATGATAGTATAATACAAGTTTTTATTTACATACTGTACATATTTTACAGACCCTCACTTCGTAAGGCGGTTTGCCGAGGCTACCATGCAGCCCTCCTCTCCCGACATGCGCCTTGCCGGCGACGCTACGACCAGCCAGCAAGGCCGGCCGTCGTAGATTTGGCACCTGCCGTGTGCCCCGGCAGATTGACCGATCTGCCGAAGTGTTTAAGAACACATTCACCCTGTCCGAATCGTTCGAACAACACGTGCCCTCGGCACTCCGCGCCACCAGCCTGGCGGACAAAGTTTTGTGGTCTAGCCACCGAGGAACCGAAACGTTACCACTCGCGCCCGTCCTCGCCACGGCGTCTTTATAGCCGTCCAGGTCAACCTGACTCCTACGTCACTTATCCCACCCGCGCGGTGAAAGCCTTTCCTTGGCGCTGCCTGCGCCCGCGGACCATTTCCTGTCGGAAGGTCCCTTCTTTGTTCTATCTTTAGGATCCCCCAGCCCTCTTACCTTGCACTCGGCTGTTTTTTTACTGCCAAGCACGTGACGCTACCCCAGTATGAACTGTCCCAATTTTAGAGAAAAAGTTACCTGGGAACGGGAAGGCGTCCTGTAGGCACATGATTAATCAGGTAGATGACTTTATAATAAGACAGCGGAAATCTGTGTGACTGATGCTTTTAGAATCGAATGTGTCAGTTCTATTCCATATTTTTGGCGTACATTTTGAATATCATTTATACAGTTGAAGTCTTCCCAGTTGGTGTCTGGCCCCATACAATTTGGAAGGCCTATATAGTGAATTAACCGTGGGGCATAAGACAGCGTAATTCGTGGTGATACGAACTTCATTTTTGTCTGAAAGCGGCTTCGGAATATCGGCCTACATTATGCCCTAGTGCTAGAAGGCAAAGTGCTCCTGAGTGTGTGCGTGTAGTGATTATGTGTGGTCTTGTTATTCAGGGCCGTTTGCCGCCGCCGTTCGCCGCTGGGCTCGTGACGACGAGGGCCCGTGCGCGCACGAATGGACGGCGAGGACGCGTCCGAGGCTGCAGTGAGAGGACACGCTTTCTTGCCCTCCGCCTCCGCTTCCCGCCCCCGCCCGCGCACGCACCCGAGCCCGCGCCGCCGCGCGGCTAGGTAGTGGGGCCGCCGTCCCGCAGCTCCCCGGCGCCGGGCTAGGAGCTCGCACCTCGCCCGGCGCCCCCGCGCCCACGCCCCGCCCGCCCCACGCCCGCGCCCCCGCCACTGCGCCGCCGCGCTTGGCCGTGCCGCGGCCTTTCGGCACCCCTTACCCCCGCCCCGCCCCGCCTCCGGCCCCCACCGCCCGCCCCGCCCTTCGCCCCCCGCGCCCCCAGGGCCTCCCACCGTCGCCGCCCATGGCGGGCGCCCGCTCCTCTTAAGGCAAGCGCTTCTTCTGCCGCGAGTGGGCCTTTATCAGCTTGCGCACTCCGCTCGAGCCAGAGGCCCGTCTCCAGACCTACCGGCACCATCGGTGGTCGGCTGGGCCCGCACCGGCTGGTACCGCTTGCGGCGGCAGCTCTTTCTCACCTCCCTTTTCATACCTCTGTTTTGAATTTCCCGACGAGACATATTTAACAGACTTGTTTTCATTTTTCAGTTTCTTCTCTTACATGTTTTAAGTAGTGAAACTCTTCGGCGAGCAGAAGTTTATTCAAAATTTCGTGAAAGGATAATTCTTGGGCATCTTGGAAGGAAAGTTCTTCAATGAAACACGTTCGTTTCCAACAATAACATTTAATTTACTAGATTGGTACAATATAAGCACATCTTCCCCCCCCCCCATCTCCCACAAACCTCTGCCCACACAAGATCTATTTTCCGCTGGTTGCCTTCTTTTTCACATCATCGCGACAATTTCATAATGTCATGACGGATCGGTGCCATTCGACTGGCAACCGCCCGCCCTCGCGCTCCCTTCCGGTGGTCGCGACCCTCTATGCGCATGCCACCACTTGAAACGGTATCTTTGAATGGCCGCAGACAGCCAACTGTCTTCAGGCCACCCAACTTTGGCGTGGAGGTCTCACGCAAACCCCACAACATTAGTCTCAAGAATGTTTATTTTTGTATCTTCTAGAACAAATAATGTAAAAAGCTTATGTGGCAAAAGCTACAAAATGATGTTAATTGTTTCTGATGATATAAACATATGCAAGAATTACAATACATTCACAGTATGATTGAATATTTCTTTTAAATTATATAATAATTGTATATAATAAAAATTCAGATTTTGAATTAAGATTCAATCATTATTCTATTTTAAAAGCTTCACTATAATTTCGGTTTATTGAATTTAATACTGTTTATTCATAATTTTCTCACCAGTCGTAGTTCTTTCTTAAAAATAACATAAACTATTGATCGTGATAGATGAACATTCCATCCCATCCCCCCAACACATCATGAGTTAAACAAAAGGGACTTCAGGAAAATTAATAGGTGAAATATATATAGGTTTTAAAACAATATTTAAATTTAATCACAAGACACATGTTGGTAATTTTAATATTTTTAATTGTCCAGTTTGAAACTAATAAATGATAATGTATCAGCTGTCACAAAAATGTGGTCATGTAACGTTCATTTTTACTGCCAATCATTTCTCTTGTTCAAAGCTGTTAGAAAACACCGTCACACCAAAAAAGCCGGATATGTTTTTAACCGGCCCCCCTTAGTGCTTGCCACGGCTTGGCAGCTCATTGGGATAAAGGAGCAGGGAAAGGTTGCTAATATTCGAATGCAGTTATTCCAAGTTGCACGACTTATTTAAAAATATTTGAACAGACGAGTAACAGAATGCTAGGCATTCAGCCTTACTTCGTAAGCCAGACAAACTTCCCTGTCCCAAAACTATTATTTGTCCGGTAGATTCTGTAATTGTTTGTGGCTATTAATTTATTATTATTTTTTATTATTATTATTAGAATGCAGTAGAATTAATCCATATATAATTTATATTTAGTATTAGATAATAATTACTTATGATAATTCATTGAATTGCTTTTCAATTTCTTGCGAAAAGCAACTCGGTAAGATACAGAAGAGTGAAGCCGGCGCGAAAGGAAACGACACATTCTGACGGTTCGTTGCTGAAATATCTTTCTATAAGAGGAAGCGGTGATGACTGTTGAGGCGCAAACAGATGGGGTTGCGACACCAAAAAAATTGAAAAATCTACCGCTCGTGCCCGAGGATATTGGGAGAGAGGGAGAGAGAGGCGTCATTATAAATTCACTTCTTCGTGAGTAGCACTTACGACGGCGATTGATTGGTTTCCGCGACGGAACGAGCCGACTTCCCTTCCCGCCACCCACCCCTCCATCCCTTCTCGCTCAACCCCCGGTCTGTTGGATCGGGTTCCGCCGTATCCTAACTCACTTCTCGTGCCCACTCTATTCTCTCACTCACCTTCAGCCCATTCTACCTGGCCTCACACCTCCCTTTCTTCGTCCACTCCACATTTCCCTGCCCCCACCTCACCCCAACACGCCTCTCTTCCGACTTTTTGCCCTTTTTACGCTTAGCGCCCTCAACCTTTCCGCTCGGCCATGCCTCACGACTTCCCGTTCCACCTCGCCTCAATTGCCAACGCTGTAAGCTCAGCAATCGTCGCTTCCAGCAGATGGCAAAACTTTTGTTTTAATTTTTCCCCGCAATATCTGTGTAGGATCTACAACACAGTTATTCAACCGTGTATTTTAACTTTCTGCTCTAAAGAAAAAGTGAAAAAATAGAATTTCACTATCTCTCCTCATCCTTTCTTCTTTTTATTCTTCTGATCTCGCAGGTGTTACAATCCACCCGATCTTGTTCTTTTTCTCATGATGCCTCTGTCCGAAGTAGGTGAGATGTAGTTGCCTGGTCCTGTTTTCTTGAGTGTTGCTTATACAATATGATCTGTTGTGTACGTTGAATGCCGGGAAAGTTTAATTGTGTGCTGTGTGTTGCGGCGACTGCGGCGGCAAGACGCGTTGTGCTGCGAGATCGTTGTGGCCCGCGGTCCGGGCCGGGCTGCGCCAGCAGCGTAGCCTCAACCGCCGCCTGCTGGCCTACCACTTTCTGCCAGGCGCACGGACGCCCTCGGACGCGTGTTCGCGGCCCGAGTTCGTGCGCAAGCTGGTGGGCACTTGCTAGCGCGCTGCTCGCCGCCACGCCCCCCTCGACACCCCGGCCCACGCTCCGCCCAACGCCCCGGCGACGAGCAGCCCGCCCCCGGCCCCCGCGCACCCGCCCCCGGCGCTGTCGCCCTCGTCGCCGCACTTCCCCAAGGCCTTCTCCTCCGCCGCCGACGGCTACGCGGACAAGGTGAGTGCCTCTGCGGCAGTCAGCCCTCTAAACTCATGTAATATCGAAGGCACAGCTCATCAGTCCGGAAACATTAACAATACTAGTCTAAATTGTTACCTGTATGAGACATATAATGGAAGTAAAAACATTCGAACTTCTTGCTAAGAGCCATCTTTGCTATCAAGTGGTATTATATTGAAATGGAATTAAATTCGTTCGGCGAAAACTTATCAGGAATTCTCTCTCACTTTCCCAACTTGTATCAGTATTTTAATTTCTGGGAAGAATTACTAAACGACTATTCTAATAAATGAATGATCTCCATGTAGAGAAGATAACTTCAATTCTCTGTTTGATTAAATTAAAATTATATTTATTGCAAGTTTTACCAATTTTTCTCGAAATTTCGTACTGATGTCCCTATGTGGCACATTGAGTGGAAGGTCTCCGGCAGGAAAATAGTTAATAAATATTTCAAGTATCGATCCACATTTTCTGCTATAATCGTGTCAACACAGCATATTATTACACGAGCTTCTTCGTGTTGTCGACAATTGAATGGACAAGGACCCATTTAAAATAAATACAGATATAGTTTACGGAAAAGAGGTTATTATGCATTATTGACGTAAATATAATCCACAAAGGTTTTTAATGTCGTTCCATAAACCTTTCTTGCAATGGGATAATTCATGTACATGCCAATTTTTATTATTTCTTGACATTCCGGGAATATTATGGTATTAAATTTCGGAAGTTGTATCTTTAAAGAGAGAGTTTTGTGAAAGTGCCTTGTGAAAGCCGACGTCGGTAGCCGAATTGCTTAACTACGGTTTGTGAAGACACGGAGGTTAAGCAAATGGAGACATCTCGGGTTCCTGGAAGGGTAACCGCCTGAGAACTTTGTGGATCTAACGAGGCGAGCCTCTGGCCGAAGGGATAAAAGACAATGACTACCTACCTCTGACGACTAGCTTAATGGACGTATTACTCCACTTCGACGCCAGTAAATGTTTAAAGTTGACATTGTTACGAAACGCGTAAGATATTTGAAAGCGAAGCGCTGCGCGCTTGCGCATGCGCAGGTGCGCAACGACCCGGAGATCCTGGCAGCGCTGCGGCCCGAGGCGCTGGACCGCGACCCGGACGAGGCGCTGAAGCGCGCGGTGCTGTTCCCGCTGCTGGAGCTGGAGCCGCCCAAGCACTGCCTCTTCCTGCTGGTGGACTCCATCGACGAGGCGCAGGTGCTCAACGTGGGGCCGGGCGCGGGGGCGGGGTCGCTGACCTCGTCGTCGGCGACGGGTGGCGCCGCGGCGGCGGGCGTCGCGGGCCGCCGGTCCTCCATAGGCGCCAGTCGCACCATCGCCGAGCTGCTGGCCAACCACCACCACCTGTTCCCACAATGGCTGGTGCTGGTGTGCACGGCGCGCCGCCAGAGCAAGGCCGTGTCGCGCATGTTCACGGGCTTCCGCAAGATCTCGCTGGACGACCTGCGCAAGTCGCAGGTGGTGCGCGACGTGCAGCAGTACATCCTGGCGCGCCTCGACCAGGAGGACGCGCTGCGCCAGCACATCAGCCGCGACACCGCCGAGATGCTCAACCAGCTGCACATCAAGAGCAACGGCTGCTTCCTCTACCTCGAGAAGGTAAGGCGCACCCCACGCCTTGGCGGTAGACTTCATTGGGGGGATGTTCCTTTTGATAATACAGACCACGAGACATGTCTCACTTCGCAACACATGGTCCCTGCTATGACAAATTTCACTCCTATTCACAGCTAGGGCCAGCCTCTTCAGCCGTTTTAGTAATATGTATACATTCCTATGATGATCTTGCATTAATTTGAGCGATAATAGAAACTTTCTAGCACGGAAAAAGTCAAATCATCAAAGAATATTTAACGTTTCCTTAACTTTTCTATTTACCTGAAGCGACCTTTAAAGAGTTTCTGAGAATTTCCTTTCTGTCTTTCTAAAAATGAAATACGTGTAATTACGAAGAAAATTCGTTTTGTAATTTTAAATCACAGATACAGTTAGTCGAGATCATGCGCTCCTATAAGTTACTTCATCTTTAAACTTTATGGCCGTGTCGTACAATAGAAACATTTCGTCGTACGGTCGCTGTTTTAACACGTCATTAATTTCGCTCGCCATCCCCTTGTGCTTGTCTGCAAGTGGTTTTCGTGAGATGCTCAGTTCATTTGGCGTGGCGTGTTACAAGAGCGACGGTATTGATGTTGAAGCGTTGAGAGTGCTTTCCTCCTACCTACACTCACTTCTGACTTTAAAAAAAGATCTGACGTATTTCTTAAAATCTTGTCTATTTTACAATATTTAGTCGATATATCCACGTAATTTTGCGAATAATATAGATAATTGTTAAACTATTATTTTCTCTAAGACGGCTGCAATTTAAATTTTAATGACTTTTAATAACTTTTAATGACTTTTAATTTTTTCCTCGGATATAACAAAACACGCTTAAAATGACGCGGGTCTGTTTTCGGGGAACTTTGTATCTTTTCAAATATTGAATTGTAAACGAAGATATCTGATTTTTTTAAATTCAAATGCCAATTTTAAACTTTTTTAAAGCGTCGAGAACTTTGAGTTTGACTGTGAGGCTGGGGGATAAGGGTTAACGTGACTGGCGTATTAACTCTAAAGACGAATCCCAGCTCGGAGAAAAAAATTGCAGGATCATGTATTGTATTATAGTAATGCGTTGACGTTAGAAATAATGAAAGAATGTATGTGCTGTTGTACAACCGCTTGTAAGTTCTGCGACAGAACAGAATAGGTTGTTGAACATGGTAAGAAACAAGCAGTCTGAGATGCGAACGGCTCAAGCCGACGTGCGGTGAGGGGAACGCGAGGCGCCGTGCCCAAGCGCCCGCGTTGTCGAAACTCCGCTCTGTATTGCATGGACGCTTCGAGCACAGGTTGCCCCTAACGCCCTCCGCGTGCCTCCGCGTGCCGCAGGTGCTGGACGGCGTGGCTGAGAACTTCATCGTGCTGCGCGAGGTGCGCGAGATCCCGGGCACGCTGAACGGGCTGTACCTGTGGCTGTGCCAGCGGCTGTTCAACCGCAAGCAGTTCGCCAAGGTGCAGCCGCTGCTGAACGTGATCCTGGCGGCGCGCCGGCCGCTCACCCAGGAGCAGCTGTTCCAGTGCGTGTGGACGGGCAACGCGGCGCTGACGCGCGACGACTTCGCCAAGCGCCTGCACCTGCTGCGCCGCGTGCTGGCGGCCGGCAAGGACGGCGGCCTGCTGCTCTTCCACCACAGCTTCGCCGAGTGGCTGCTCGACGTCAAGCACTGCACGCAGAAGGTAATCCCGCCCTCCCCCTCTCACATGGGGCCTCCGCACGCGCGACAAATCTGGGATTTTCAAAACTAATTTTTATGTTACACCTGAGTACAAGTAAAATATTAGTATTAGTTTTTGTGTTTAGTTGTGTCAAGAACAAATTCAGAAGCAAACGAATACTTTTTTTCACCCAATGATTTTTTATTAACGATAACTCCTTCAGAACAAGTAGTGAACGAGAAGTTCAAGTCTTCCAGTATATGTTTTAGAAATAACTGTACGAGTACTGGAAGCAAGTAATAATAAAAATAGATCTCTGGTGCACGAAATTATTAAAATTATCCGAGACTTTCAACTTATGATACGGATTTAAAGGAGAGTTTAAAAAATACGATTTGAATAAAATATATGGATATTTTAAATAATGGTTTTTAGAATCCTTAAAGGATAGTAAAGGGTGTAATAATAGTAATTTGTGTGTTGCAGTACCTGTGCTCGGCGGCGGACGGGCACGCGCTGCTGGCCATGTGGCACACGCTGCGCGCGCGCCAGCTGAGCGCCGACGAGGTGCAGGGGCTGGCGCTCCACCTCACTCGCATGCCCTCGGCGCCGCCGCCCGCCGCGCCGCCGCCACCGCCCACCGGCCTCGACGCGCGCACGCTAGCGGCGCTCTGGCTCATCGGCAGTGGCGCGCCCGTGCGCGACTGCCTGGCGGCGTCGCCCTCGCCTTCGCCCTCGCCCGCTCCCGCGCCCGCGCCCCATCCGGCGCCCGCGGCGTGGGAGGCGCCCGGGCGCCCGCTGCCCAAGGACGCGCGCGTGCTGCGCCTGCTGGTGGACGCCGGCGCTCGCCTGCCCGGCGCCCCCGCGCACGCCTCCGTGCACGCCCACGCCCACGGCTCCGCGCGCCCCGACGCCCCGGGCGTGCCCGCCGACCCCGACGCCCATGCCCCCCACGCAGACCCCGACGCCCACGCCGACGCGCGCCATCGGCACGACCTCGCCGCTTCTAGTCAGGTGAGCTCTTCGAGCGCCTCTGCCCTACGCAGCGCTCGGTGTCTGTCACCTCGGTTAGGCTGGCACTTGCGTAGCCCCCAACCTTTCCCCTCCACATGCCGCAGAGCTCGTGCCCGCGTGCGGAGAAACGGGTGCCGACACTCCATGCGGCCGATTTGGAACAGCCTACTACACAGGGACCTTCACTGACCCACCACTAATGGCCCGTCGCTATCCTCTCTGCCTGTGTTGGGCATTCGTCGTTAAAAGCGCATTTGTCCTCATCCAATCAAGTGAAACTAAAACACTCATAATATTCCCCACTTTGCCACCTGCAATTGGACGACCACACATCCACACTCCACACAGGCCATTCACACTCACCCCTTAGTTTAAACATGGACACGTGTTGTATCAATTGCCCCCAGTCATGTGAGCTCTCCACTAACAATCTGGAGCTCCGCTTTTGAGTACTTTGAGTTTTTTGAGCACTTGCACATATACGAATGTAAAGTGGACCAAGTCTTCTGCGACAATCAGTGAAGTCTTAGGTTGTCCATGAAATGTCTCATAGGAGGCAGTGTTGCCAACGTTTCAGCTATATCGATCTTCTGTAGGGCGAATTTGAAATGTTAGCTACGTTACGTAGCACGCGGTTCGTTTTGGACATTCGCGACTTCACTTCCACCGGTGACGGAAGCCTTTCGCTAGGTCCCACCAGGTTATTGGAGGATGAGCTGGATAAGGATGCACTGATATGTATAAGTGCGTCTGATCGCTTTCGCAAAAGTAACAAGTGAAGTTGATTCTAAAGTATGTTTTTCGTATCTCCTGTTAAAGTTGATTCTTTGAACTTGTATTATTTTTAAAGATATGTAATATGTGGGGGGCAGATTTTGATGACCTAAAACATCGCCAAAACAAAATGACGTAACAAATTTGATCAAAATCAGTTCATATGAACAACTAAAGCTGTTGTATATATTACTGATGTAATGAATTCTCCTTCCTTTCGTTCAAGTGAACTCAGCTTGCAAATTTTTGATTTGCACGTTTTTTTACCAGGAAGTCTCTTGGCTTTGGTTTTCCCAAAATCGGCCGAACTAACAACGGCGCTAATAGGCGTCACGTGAACCATAGATTACCTGACAACGGCTAACATTATAATGTCTAAGCGAAGAAATCGAATAGGCTACTCAGGAATTCCGTGAATAACATTTGTTGCATCTCGTAAATATTGTTTGAAGAAAGTATCATTAAAACAGTGTTATAATCGATTAAATCAGTGAAAATGCTTTAAAAATGACGAAAAATGTAAAATATGACTTATTTGTTGAAATGGACGAAAAAGTCATATGAAATGTATCATTTCCTATTGTCGTAACTTAAATTAATGCCTACACTAAAAATCATTGTTCTAAAGTGAAAAGAAAAAAGGCATTTCATTGAAACTCACCCCCTAGTGATATGTAATCAGAAATAAATACGAAAATATATTGCAACCTGTACCATCTTTGTACAAAAACAGTTTTAAAAACTTAGACTATCTACAGTCAAACATTATAAAGTTAAAAACTACATGCCAAACATGATTGAAACGCAAGTGTTCTAATATTCCTTGTTCATGATCATTGACAAAGTATGAGATAAATGAGATACCGCTATATACAAAATATAAAAACTGAGATAACGCTATTTCTATTTGTAATAGTCTCCGTAAGGTAAGGCGCAGAAAGAAAGAAATTGAAGGTGAAAGTGAAAAGCAGTGAGACGTCTAGGAGCGTGATCTGGTCGCTAACTCTGCTGTGCTTGTGCGCAGGTGCCCGCGGCGAGCGCGCTGGCAGCGGTGGTGGTGGCGGCGCCGGCGGACCCGCTGGCCGAGCTGCTGGCCGAGTGCGGCGACGTGAACCGCGCCGACGGCAGCGGGCGCACGCTGCTGCACCAGCTGGCGGCCGAGGGCAACGCGCGGCTGCTGGCGCTGGCGGCGGCGGCGCGCGGCGCCGACCTCGAGGCCACCGACCGCCACGGCCAGACGCCGCTCAACCTGGCGGCGCGCCACGGCCACGGCGACGTCGTGGCGGCGCTGCTGGGCGCCGGCGCGCGCGCCGACCACGCCGACTGCGACGGCTGGACCGCCCTGCGCGCCGCCGCCTGGGGCGGACACACGCAGGTGCCTGCTTGGGCTCGTTAGGCCCCTTTGGTGCATGCAATGTTTTATCCTGGGAGGTAGTAGTCGTCGGCTTGCAAGATTGTACCTCCAGGTGTTGCCCCCAGCTGGAACCTGCACCAAACGCGGCAAGCTCCCGACCGGTCTCCCGAGACGTATGGTAGTGTTCTGTGGGTGTAAGGGGAGACGGAGATGAGGAAGGAAGGTGGCGCGCGGTTCATGACTCGTTTGTTTGGGTACTGTCCCCACATTTCGCCCTGTATTAATGGGAGAAAACACGGAAAGCTACCGATCATCGTACGCCTGAATTCTCTTCCAGACGGCGGCTCAATTCGACCAGCGAGTGCTGAAACTTCGCCAGAGTCGGTACGGGATCTCTAGAAACTCCCCATCGAAGTCATTGCAGACCCGGCGGCTAAGTTGTGGTTTACGCATGATAAACAGATTGAGATGACTCATTACAACAGCTGTTGCCACTGCACTGTTTAAGCGGGGGGGGAGGGTCTTTTCTTCAATGGTGGTAGAATTTCGTAAGTGGCTACACAGAGATCGGATTCAGCAGTTTCCTGCTATAGAATTCAAGCGGTCGGTTGCTCTGACCGGTAGTTTCCCGTGGTTTCTCCGATCAACATCAGGCAAATGCAACGCCAGAAGCTTAACAAACGGGTCACATACCACGCGCTGCCTTTCCTTTCTCATTCCTGATCCCTTCTTTCCTCTTACACACACACATACACCTACCCTCTCATGCACTAAACTTCCACACACGTCCGGTGACCAGTCGGGGCTTTGAGCTTATCCCGACTGAGGCGGTGACGCGCTGGCGGAGATACCTAGAGATGAAATTCCCAAACTGGAATGTATGTCGGCGCCGGATCCAACGATACAGCGAGGGAGGAACACATCCACCTCCTGGGATATAAGATGCACTACGCGTACGTGACTAATGACCAAAGTCGTTGCCATTCCCGGAAACACACAATAATAAGCGTTAGGTATAGAATTTAGCCTTTTACACGCCATGTGTGCGATCATCCGGACGAGATTATGAAACATTAAGTGTTGCGCCATCAAAGCGCGCCGCGTCACATTCGCCGTTTCTCTAGGGCTTTGTTAGATGATTTTTCCCCTTTGTAGCGCCGTGCTGACGGCCTCTGCTGAAGTGTATCGAATGTTTTGTCAGCAGGGTGAGTCATTGTTTGTCGCTATCTAGAATATGTGAATGATTATGAAAAAACAATGTCACACATGGCTTATTATGGAGTAGCCGATGTTCAGAGATCCAAAGGCAATTTTGAATCGTCCTGGAAATGCCCCGAACAATAAAAACTCTTGAGGGAGTCCCAGGGTATCGGGTCTTGTCTGGGACTGGAATCGGTCCATTGTGTTTAGCGTTTTTTAGCAGGGGACATGCCTGATTGAAAGCAACCCCTCGCACTTGAATGCAGCCTAATGCATAGTGAGGCATCAAGGAAAAATATAGAGACTAGATGAAACGAACATATTTACTTTAATAATTATATACATTGGTTACTATTTGTATTGTATAATTCTAAAAGGCTAAATATGCATTAACAAGCAACAACATGCATATACTTCTGTTTCTGGGTTAACTCCCCCCATCCTTCCCATCTAGGTCAGATTTCGTCTTAGTTTCCATCAGTCTATTGAGCAAATGCTGAGATGACTCCTTTTGTCTCTTATAAACATAAATGTACCTTCACTGAATGGGCTCGTTTAGCTCAGCATTTTGTTGCTACTTTTCTTGCAGCAATAAGTGGATTCTTTCACATATTGTACTAGAGCATTAGTGGTATACAGCCAAAATCGGTGGTTGTAATGTGTTCGCAAATAGTTTTTATTACACAGGAATGTTTTCATACCAGTTGTTGCCAATAACTCTTGTTGCTGCCAATATTCATACATACTATGTATATGTAATTGAGTTACATCACAGAGCTCAAGAAACCTTGCACAGATTGTGCTTCTTCCCTCAGTACGTCAACGTTTTTAATTGTCTTTGACGTGCAGTAAATAAATCTAGTTATGCGCCAGAGTTCTTCAAAAATGGCGCTTTTCAATGAATAATGTGGAATTAGAATGTAAACGAGGAACAAAAATAGTAAAGTGAATCTCTGCGTAAAGTTTTTTGAAATATTGAGTTTGGGAACTTAATTTCCATCAGTAGATGTGTCCTAATTCGGCATCGAAGTACGAAGGGTTGCGTCGATCCCGAAAACCATTTTGTTCTTCAACATCTTTGATTGCGTTTTCCAACCTGGTCTTTATAATTTTTCCATTCATTCCAATACATTCTAGAATCAGAATTTTTCATACTGAATTGGTCTATAATTTGTGCATTTATTATGGACTCTCACCCTCTATCTTTTTCCTTTCCTAAGATTTCGTTTCCTACTTCATGGATTTTATTTTTGATTTCTTCTTACATACCCAAAGGGCGAAAAACGGAATTTTCATTTAATTTTATGGAAAGTTGTATTTTAAACATAAATCTAATGGAATTATTTTCTAATTTTTTTCGTATTATATTATTTTGTGCCAATTTGAAGCATATTTTCGTTCATTGTCGAAATTTCTTTGCTGCCATTAGAGAATGGAAAACACAGTACTACTTTCAGCAAGTGGGAATCTGAACTACATTCTGCTCCTCGATATACTCTGTCTTCAAATTTTAATTTAATGGATATTTTGTAAATGACATAATAAATAATTGACTTCAACTGTCTAGTAGTTTGTTTCCAAGCAAACTTGTGTATGTCTTTATGTTTTAAAAAAACATTAGGATATGAAGATTTATTCTTCACAAAATTCTATCAATCTATGCCCATTCTTGTGTGTTACTGGTTCTTCCAATTACATTGCTATTTTTATTCATTTCAGTTCGACCGTTCAGATCATCTAATATAATTATTTCTATTCTATTTCCAATCTATTCTAAAACAGCTGTCAATTGTTTATAAAATTCTAATTTTTCTGTATCCTTTTTATCATATGCCGAAACATATGCTTCAAGTATTACAACATTGTATCCTTTCAATTTTAATTCCACCATAATCAATCTTTATTTTTTCTGATTTCATCTTTTTATGCAGTTTGACCATTTCGTATCTATCAGAATTGACCGACCTTTGCTCATTCTTCTTGAATATACGGATACAATTTTCCAATTTTTCACATCCCTTTCCCTTCTTTTTGTGTCTGTTAAAACTGCAATATCCAATTTAAATCTGTATCTCTTCAAGTACCTCTTTTTGTGTCGTGGCTAGATCTTGAATATTCCAGTTTTCAAAAATCGTTTTCCCTTTTCTTTGCTTAAGTCGTCGTCTGTTAGGTTTATTCCGAGGCAAATTACCAGGACTTTTGGCAATGGCTGTGATGACACAGGGTTTTACAAAGAATGGAGGCAGGCCCAAAGCTTTAACCTCCAACCTGGAGGACCAGGGAATTTTCCTTCAGGCTTTCCACGCCCTAGGAAGGTTGCCTTCTCCACGGTTAAAGAGACCCTGCTCCCTTAAGTCCGAAAGAGAAATGAAGAAGGATAGCAGAGAAGAGTAGAGATGAAAGGAGATAAAGTAAACGGAAAGAGAAGAGTAGAAACGAAGGTCTCCCTAGCCCTCGAAACCTAATAGCGTCTCGGTCTGAAGAAATCTAGAGTGATAAAATATGATAGTTTGTAGCAGTGAGGCACAAGGAAGTGGAAGCAATGCCACACTAGAGACCGTCCTCCTTTTCCGGGCTTGGGGCGGGCAATGTCCGTCGTCGCCACGCCACCTCAGGTACGTCGAAGTCTCTATGGAATAGAAAAGGGCCAGTGAAGCACAATAGGCGGGCCTGTTCGTCTTCGGGTAACGCGTGGTGCAGAGGTCAGCGCACTCGCTTTCCAATTCCTACACCCGGCACTCACATCCCGGCCACGACTTGTTCCTCCGTCAAGAGCATGAAACTTGCTCCGGGCTCCTCCGTCCTGCATTCAACCCTGCCCTCCCGTGTCGGTGGTCATCCTGGGGCGGGGACTGTGGCCGTGCGCCGCCCGCCTTCGACGTCTCTCCGCGACCCCCGCCTGCGCTCTCCTTTTGGGCCGACCTGGCGCTGCCCCCGGCGCCTCGTCTGGGATGATCCGCGAGACGCGGGGCCGACGTTCGATGCCGCGGCGGAAGACCGCCTGCCTGCAGAGCGCGGTGCTATGTTTTATTCAGGGCTGGCATCGGCGTCTTCCGCCGCTCCTCCCCTCCCTAACCGACTCCACCCCCTCTCTTCTGAGTCTCCTGAGTGCCCACCCAACCTTGGCCATTTCCCGCCGGAGCCCCGTCGTCCGTCGCCCACCCCCGCCCCGCCCGCCCCGCCCCCTCCCTCCCGCCACGCCACGCCTCCTCTACGCCCCTCCGCCTCCTCCGTCCCGTCGACCCACCCACCTACCCGCACTCCGCCCGCACGACCGACCGCCAACACTCGCTCCGTCCGCCGCCTCCCCCGTCCGTCACACCCTCACTGCCCACACACTTTCCGCCCTGCCGCTGGCCACCCCCGCCCCTTCCGACTCGCCTATTTGTCCCCCCCCCTCGCCGGCCCGCCACCTGATCTCCACTCACTCATTCACTCTTACAGCTTGCTTGCCCGCCCACCCACGCTGCGCTCTCCCTCCTCCTGACGATACTCCTGCCCCGTCGGTCCCCCCCTGCCCGCCCGGCAGAGCATACGCGCTCGACTTGTAGCGCTCTCGAATCTGCCCGTGCGCCCGGGCCTTCCCATCTGAAGCTTGCCTTTGAATCCGTGCGTTGGAGTCTGCCTACGCGCTTGAATCTGCCCTTCCTTCATATCCCCTTCCGCCGAGAGTCGCTTCCCTTCCCCCCTCCCACGGCGCCGCGCAGGTCGGGCGTCGTGTTTTATAGAGGAGATGCTCCGGGCGCGGAACGGCCGCTTGATCGCATTCGGCCGGCGGGCGCGCAGCGCATCGTCGCCTCTCAATGCACGCGCGACGACCTGCCGAGCGAGAACCCTCTGCCCTTCCGCCCTTCGGACGGAGCCTTCCAATGAATTCGGATGGCCCTGCCTCGTTCCATTTCCTGCCACAGGACAGATTTCAGGCTTAGGAAGGGGGAAGACTTAGCGGCGGGAGCAAAAGGTGAAAAACAGCATGTCTCCAGAGACTTGGTGAGAAGAGCTTTGAAGACAAGATGATCACGAATTCATATCAATTCAGAATTTAGTCACGTTGAAAAATCATAATCCTAGTAACATAATTTATATAATTTAGCTTTTACCTGCTGCCACGTTTCAACATGTAAAATACAAATAGATGAATATGAGTAATGCAGGCAGGTACAACGTCTCTCGCACCGGAAAACGGGAACTGCTTTACATCCCGCGAAAGGCTTGGTCACACTAGTCGCCTCGAAGGAGTATTTACAAGCTTGATTCCTGATATTCACCACCCTCTTTTCCCGGCTCATCGTTGGGTTCCTCTCGGAAGACGTTTGTTGAATGGGCGTAACACATCATAGTCGCGAGGATGGAGGCCAGGATTGTTTACGAGATGTGAGGAAGCAGCGATTTCGAGAGAAGCCTTCCAGTCTGTGGTGGTGATCTGTATGTGCTGCAGCGCACTACCCATTCTCTTTAATAAATAAAATATTTGTTTAAAAATATCATATTTTCGTGTAGCATAACGCATAACAATTTCGGAGATTTGACTTGACACGCGCCCCTACATCTGAAGCGGTCTTTGGTCTGAAGTGTGGTGTTTTGAACGAGAAAGCCTGATGATTTCATGCAGAGCACGGTGATTCTTGTTGTGCGTATATGCTAAAATGCTGGCCATTAAGCTCTTTAAGGCTGTAAAATTGCCTCTTTTTTTGAAGAAAAGTAAATAAATATATTTAGAAAAGAGGCTGTTGACGCTCGCTATTCGGGGTGTGCCACGTCTTGAGTCGTTGTGGTTGACGTTTCGGCCAAATGTTGCGGCGTTGCCAGCTACGCTGCAGATGCTATTTTCACTAGTAAACATTTCTTAAAATTAGTTCTGAAGGAAGCCTCTGTATATACTGAAGCACTTTCTTTTTGAATGTGAAATAAAGCTCAGATAGATGAAACCTCTCCGTCTCGATCAGGTTTTTCGTCCAGTTACCCTGATCCATTGATGATTAAGTGGTGGTACATATCCTTGTTTGCTTTTGGATATAAATGTAGCTTCACAACACACACATTCTGTTGAGCCGTGAGGTAAAAGGAGAGACAGGGATATATGTTTCAATTTGGTTAGCAATATCATTAAGTAAAATGTGTATTTCATTTACGGATGCAAATTCATTTTCTATAAATCGGGAACGAAAACTTCTACTTTCAGATGTTGTTAATCTCGCTTTGTGTGTACTTTTATTCATGTGGGGAAGATATTTTGGAGGTCAAGCAAACATGTGCAGATTTTACTTGCTCCCCACAAGTGACGTGCTGTTTTTGACTGGTGATGGTTGGGGTGTCAGGTGGTGGAGTCGCTGCTGGAGCACGGCGCGGCGGTGGACTGCGCGGACTCGGACCAGCGCACGGCGCTGCGCGCGGCGGCGTGGGGCGGCCACGAGGACATCGTGCTGGCGCTGCTGCGCCACGGCGCCGACGTGAACCGCACCGACGACGAGGGCCGCACGGCGCTCATCGCCGCCGCCTACATGGGCCACTCGGAGATCGTGGAGCACCTGCTGGACTTCGGCGCGCGCGTCAACCACGAGGACGGCGACGGGCGCACAGCGCTGAGCGTGGCCGCGCTCTGCGTGCCAGCCAACGAGGGCTACGCCAAGGTGGTCAACATCCTGCTGGAGCGCGGCGCCGCCGTCGACCACCAGGACAAGGACGGCATGACGCCGCTGCTCGTCGCCGCCTTCGAGGGCCACAGGTGGGCTGCTCTGCGCTGCGCTCTCCTCTCTCCTCTCTCCTCTCTCCTCTCTCCTCTCTCCTCTCTCCCTCCCTCCACTCTCCTCTCTCTCACTCACTCCCCTCCCCCTTCACTCACTTCCCTCCTCACTCACTCCCCTCTCTGACTCACACTCTCCCTCACGTACTCACTCACTGTCTCCTCTCTTCTATCACCTTCTCCATGTTTATCCTCTCAATATTACTTCCTTTCCCCTCCTCTCTTTCTCTCATCTACATTCATACTCGCAAGCACATACACATAAGCATTCTTTCAATGTATTTCAATAATTACAATGTTCTTGAATGGAAACCTTCCAGAGATGTGTGCGAGTTGCTCCTGGAGTATGAAGCAGACGTGGACCATGCTGACCGAGGTGGTCGCACACCCCTGTGGGCTGCCTCATCTATGGGCCACTCATCTGTTGTGGAGCTGCTGCTTTTTTGGGGATGCTACGTGGACAGCATTGACCCAGAGGGCCGCACAGTGCTCAGTGTGGCTGCTGCCCAAGGCTGTGTGGATGTTGTTCGGCAACTCCTTGACAGAGGTTCAGTTGCATTCTCTCCTTTTATCCCCTTTAGAAATGTAGTAGACTCATGATTATTCAAGATAATGGGAACCAAATCGACCTCAAATATAAAAACAATAAACTGGATAATTTGGAGTTCATTTGGTGAATCATAAAAATATTAAAATACAAATTCTAGAACTCAATATAAATAAATGAACACATTTACTGCAGTCACGAGAGACAACTAAAACTGAGGGTAGCAATGAAAAATACATGCTTCATGAGTTAATCTGATGATTATCTAATTCACAGACTGTCCCAATGTTTCTAGAATTGGTTACAGCAACATGCAGTGCACATTGTCTCACTACTTCCACAGAAATTAATGTATATATTGAAGTTGCCTACTTTTTAAAAGTGCTCAATGTACTTATTTTGTAAAATTCCTTGTAACAAAATAAAGTTTATGTAGCATGTCCTTTCACATTTAAATTATCAAAAGGCATTCTTAACTGCGTCTGAAATAGTATGTAAAAATGAATGAAATAAAATACTAAGTTTTTCAGTTTCCTTTCTGTTTGAAATCTCATCTAAGTATGCATTTCACTGTGAAATAACTAAGTAATGTTTACAAAACATGATTTTCTCTTCCAAGCACAATTAACTAGAGGCATAATGTGAAAAAAGTGTCTTTCAAAGGGCCATTTTTGTTTTGAATTCTTCCACACTCCTCTCAATTCCTGTTTTTTTTATTATAATTGCAGGCTTGGATGAACAACATAGAGACAACTCAGGATGGACGCCCTTGCATTACGCTGCCTTTGAGGGCCATCGTGAGGTGTGCGAGGCTCTGCTTGAAGCAGGTGCTCGAGTGGATGAGGCTGATAATGACGGCAAAGGCCCACTAATGTTGGCTGCACAGGAGGGGCACACCCAACTAGTTGAGACTTTATTGAGAGAACACGGAGCACCTCCTGATCAGAGAGCTCATGATGGAAAGACTGCACTCAGGTACACTGCATTTTGGATTCATGTACTTTTCAAAGAGAATATTTGTGGCTTTCGTGTATGAATGTATGAGATCTTAATGGAAAGACAATAAATATCCAATGTGTTTAGTACAGTAGAACATAATCTGTGGGGCCTGGACCCCTTTTGCTTTATCAAATTGTTTGTGATTTTTTAAATGAAGTAATAAAAGACCTGACAGATGTTCACAACATCAAAAAATCTTTCTGAATCATTCATATATCACTTTGTTGCTTTTAGAAGTGGATTGAATGAATAAAACCATTAGTGTGGTAAAATCTTTATACTTTTAATGACAGAATATATACTGTACTGTATGCAGAGTAATATATGTCTTACGTATTAAACAAGCTGAACTCCTGTGATTGCAATGCACAAAAGAACTGTAGTAAAGTGTAACACATGCACTATAAGGAAAATCAAAAACGTTAAAATGTTGTTTCATATCATTAGTACTCATTTTCCAAGACCAATGAAATAATAATGAAAAGGGTTTACAAATTTTGGAACAATACAATCACTATTCTCTACGAATATAAAGTTAAACAAATTTCTGACAACATAATTGATACAATTTATATTTACCAATATATGATGCTGTGTACTGCAGCAAGAAATTCTGTTATCTGACATTTCTTAAAACGTAATGCATCAACTAATTATGAACACTGAAAATGTTTTGAAAAGAGTGACATGTGCCAAAGAGTAGCTGGACATTAACTTTGCATACTTTTGTTGGCTTTTAACTTAGTTGTCGTTAACGTTTGTTTTTAAAAAAGCACAAACTTCAAAATCAGAAAGCACTCCATATTTTCCTCACTAACTGTAGCCTCACAAAAAAAACAATTGCTTTTGATTGCACCTTGCAGAACAAAACTGCCAAAATCAACTAATCCAACTATACAATGTAATTGGTCAGTGAATACAAGTAATGACAAATTGAGGCAAATTTGTGTTCATTCTAAAATCTTCAATATATTATTAAAATTTAGTTTTTAAACTATGAAACCTGTTAATAAGAATAAGAGAAGATACTTTTTTCATAAAATTGAGAGAAGGAACATTTTAAAATTTCTTCTATTTTATTTTTAAAAACTCATGTCTCATGTATACAGAAAATAAATAAAAAAACAATTAATATGATTAATCAGTACTAATTTTTATATAATGTAAGAATATTTTTCATACCATTGGCCCATTATTGGACAACTAGTAATCACACAAAGGTTTATTATGTTCATTATAGAGTCATTTCAGTTTGTAAAATAGTTTATTGGACTACAACTAGTTGGAAATGTGGTGATGAGAAATAAACATGTTTTCATTAATTCTTACCCCCCCCCCTCCAATAAATTGCATGCCTCTTATTTTGTGCTCCAAAACTCAGAAAACGCTAAGGCATTGTGTGTGTGCTGCAGCAATGTATCAGTGAAATTTAAATGAAGTACTAACAGGAGCACAAGCTGAAGAATTAAGTCTGTGATGGAGTAATTCTCTTGTATGTTATTTAATTTTAGAGTATTTCCATTTTATATTACACTTTTTATAAAAATTCCTGTATTTTTAAATTGTTTGTTTAGACTAGCAGCTATAGAAGGACATTGTGAAGTGGTTGCAAGTTTGCTGAATCATGGTGCTGATGTCAACATGAAGGATGCTGATGGCCGAAGTACACTGTATGTGTTGGCTCTGGAAAACAGGTTGCCAATGGCCAGGTTTCTTTTGGAAGAGGGAGGTGCAGATGTGGAGAGCAGAGACTCGGAGGTAAATCACTCAGGTTTTTGATGTGTATTCATTAAAGAGAATTATGTTTCAATGACAAAAATAAATAAATGAAATTTGAAAACAAAGTGTCTATCATATTATATGTAGAATAATTGCCGTTGTTTCTGCATCTTTAATATCTTGAGTAAGTAAAAATAAACATTTTCAGTATTAACTGCCTGTCTTAAGTATTAATTGTGTATAGCTTTAATATTCATGTAGAAGTATTTCTTGGATGGAATTTTGATTTGAAAGTTCTTATAGTGATTTTGTCCTAACAATAATGAATAAATTGCATTATCTTAAAGCAGTGTTGCCTTTTGAATACATGTTTCGGCTTTTGTGATGATGTACCTTCACTGATAAGTCAGTGCTGTGATGTGCAGGGAAGGACCCCACTGCATGTGAGCTCCTGGCAGGGACATGTGGATATGGTGGCCCTCTTGCTCACTGTTGGAGGGGCTGATGTGAATGCAACTGACAATGAAAACCGAACTGCTCTGCATTCTGCCTCATGGCAGGGTCATGCAGCTATTGTGAGGCTGCTCTTGGAGCATGGTGCTCGTCCAGATCACACATGTAATCAGGGAGCTACTGCATTAGGTGTGTTGAAGATTTTATTTAAAAAGACATATTTATTTTGAAATTTTTGCATTTAAAGGGATGTGACAGACCTCTTGCAAAATTGAAAATTTTACGTTATAGAAAGCATTTGTGGACAGATTCTTGTTATTGTCATTTCTTGAGTGACAGACAATTCTCAAGTTTCACTTTCTCTGATTTAATGGTAATAATCACTCTGAGAAAGTCTAATGAAGATCCTTGAAATATGATTATTGTCTTAATTTGTAAATTAATTGAAGTTAAATGTTAGTCTAAAGAGAAGTCAAGAATGATTGAAAGTTATAAGAATACAGTTTCACCCTTAAATGGATAATACAGCCTTAACTGAATATTTAATTCAAACTTTTGAGAGAACATTTTACAAAGTCATTGTACTGTTAAGAGGAAGAAAAACGAGAGAGGATACTGAAATTTTTTTTAAAAATTAATGGATGTAGACCTATAAAAAAATACTTGAGTGATGAAAGGCTTCTATGTTCTTATTGTTTACAAACATACTGAGCAAATTGTGCACTATATCCACTATATCTCCTTCAGGTATTGCAGCCCAGGAAGGCCATGAAGCTTGTGTGCGAGCTCTCCTGAATCATGGAGCAGATCCCAATCATTCAGACCGTTGTGGACGCAATGCATTGAGAGTTGCAGCGAAGAGTGGCCATGATGCTGTTGTTAGGCTTTTAGAAGAATATTCTGCTAATCAACGTTCTCAGCAGTCACGGCTGGGTCTGAATGGTAATAATTTTCACTACATTAAAATTGAAACTTCAATTGAACAACTTTTTTATGATAAGTAACTTTAACTAGTAAACAAATGTATTTCTGAAATTTTAAACTCAAATCCTATATTTTATATTATTATTTTGAGGTTTCAGAGATAAGTATATTGTATCTCTGAAGTAGCATTTTCTGTCTTGAAATCTTATTAATTAATACATTTTACTTGTTATTTACTTTGTATTGGTTGGTTAAGCAAAAGAGTATGTAATGAATGTGAAGAATGTAGTGATTAAATTAATACTTATATGTATATTTTTCTTATTAATTTGCAGGTGGAGGTAGTAGTAGTGCTACATCTGTAACATCTGGATCAACAGCAGAAACAAAGCCCTCATCTGCTATTTTGTATCCTCCAGGCCCTGGATTGCATACATACTCACCTGTGGAATCACCAGATTCTACAAAGCGACGCTCATTTGTATCACTAGGTAACAATTCAAGTAACAGCAAATCTAGTAGCAACTTCACTGGTTCAACAAAGAGTTCCCAACGATCTCAAGAACCTGGTAGTGGAGGAGGTGGTGGAGGAGGCGGAGGGGGTGGAGGGATATTGTCAATGCCACCTCTTCAGCAACAAGTTCATCAGGTGAATAATCCATCTAAACCTCAAAGTGGACCTTAACAGTCGCCTATCAATCAGGGGAAAATGTTAGACTACATAGTTTTTCATCTATCTTTATTTAAGAAGTTACTATTTCCTCATTTAGGACTTTTATTATTGGAACCTCTCCTAACCCTAAGCAATAATTTTGTCTTTCAATGCTTATTGGATGTTTATAAACAAATTTTAAACTGTTACCAAGCATAATCAGTTCATGAAAACTCAAGTGTTTTCTTACAGCCAGACCTTCTCATAAATGTACTGCAATCTTATTTTAGTATTTGTTGATGTAAATAAGAGTTGTAGAAACAGAACAACATTGTTAATGTTGAACTAATTCTTCAAAAAATAATTTTGCTATCTGTGACCCCACGGAAAGAACAGCAAGCACAGAAAATTATCAAAATATATATGATCTTCCCATATCTCAGAAACTGAATGTTTTAACATAGATTTGCAGAAAGCAAATGCAATATTTATGACTAAATATTTGTAGAGCTATTTCTTAAATAAATACAATTTTCTTTCACTTTTACTGCAATTTATTCTGAGGTCACTCGATTGGTGTTCTCTGGGTACCAGAATAGCATTGGTAAGCGACTGTTAAGCCCTTTCTCTTAACCTTTTCGCTGCTATATTCTCCGTCGGTACGCGCGGCGAGGAATACGGCCTGTTTTCCTTGTGGTTCTCCTACCTGCGCTGAGTCAGTGGAATGACCCACTTTTCCCTGTGCTGAATAAGTTTCGTGCACTCCAGACCGGTCTGCGCCTCGCAGCCACAGTGAAAGGAAAATACATTTCCCATTCTTCTCTGATAGGGCTTTGGACACAGGCCAAGTTCAATTAGAGTTTTAAGTTAATAGTTACATATTTTTTTTAATTTGTTTAACTTTTTCTTTTGTATTCTTATCTTTGGCTTTGGACCGAACCGGCATAAGTTCAAAAAATATCTCTTGTATTTTTTTTGTTTTTAAACTATTTGTTAAATCTTTTCTTCCTTTATCTAAGGACAAGAATTTTAAATCTCTTTATCAATAATTTTTCCGATATTTCCTATTGACTTTAATTATTCCTTGTTGCTTGTGCTATCAACTATCTCAAAAGCATCGGAGCAGCACATAGAGGAACACTGACATGCTTTGCATGTCGTAACTTAGATTCTACTCGGCGCTTAGTTTTGTTTAGCACAAACAACACATCTTCAGCTGGTGCCCTCCTCTTAGACGATCACTTAGGGTATCAGATTCTTGGAAACAGGGCCTTTCACCGTAAAGCGCCTCGATCTGCCAGTTTCTTTTCTTGCGTTTCTGTGGAACATTTTTCACTATCAAGTTCCTCGAATTAGGGATAGCTGAAATTTTCGCCACTTCGAATATTTTGTTCCTGTCTCCTAATTTGTGAAGTGCATTGCATGAATTTAATACGCACGAGTCCCAAAATGTGAAAAAAAAAGAATTTCTACTATACATTCCACTCTTACGTACTGATTGTATCAGAGCTCATAATCATCATCTTGTCGGTACACGAATGGAACGTACTCTGGTTGCGAAACTTAATACTGAGCACACTCGCAATGAAAGATTCAGAAAAATGCAATGTCTAAATGCAGTAACAATTCAAAAATTCATAACAATTAGCAACAAACGCACCACAACTCTAAGAACAACAACCAAAACAAACCCAAAACTTAATAACAGATGTCCAATACCAACACTACATGAAATAACTGTTCAAAATGAAAGACTCAGTGAGGTCTCATAGAAGGAACGGTTCTCGATTAAATAGAAAACAGACTATTGTGTTACCCAGACTGGAAACAATACTGGCACCAAAAGAAAATAAATTCAATGGAAGCGCTTCCGGACACCCCCTTCACATTAGATATATATTGGAAAACCCGAAATTATCCACCTTCCCTTTCTGTAGAAGAGAATTTCACTAGACACAAAGACGAAACGTACAGTGGCCACATAAGACGTCCGGAGGCCCCCAGAAACGGCCCGGCGCTGCGCCTATAGACGTCTAGAGGCTGCAGGTAACATTACGTCGCCGCGCCTTAAGGCGTCCAGAGGCTCCCAGAAACAGACCGGCGCCGCGCCATAAAGCGTCCAGAGCAGCGAAAAGGTTAAAAGTCTAATCCACTGGCATTGATGCCTGAATGACCCTTGGGAGCAGCATGCATGCTCCTGCAATACCATTTCACATTTTTTTATATTTATGTATTTGCTTTTTGTAGCAACCATCTGCAGGAAGTGGTGCAGTATTATCCTTCACCCAGCAACTTCAACAGTGCACCCGAGGGACAAAAAACCGACCTCTCAGTAAACTTCTAAGTCCTCTACATAGTGAGCCCCAAAGTCCAATTTATGCATCTCCTCCACACAGTCCATTGAGTGATGTAGCTATTCCAAGTAGTCCTCTCACGGCGACAGGCCTCATGGCAGGGCAAAAGGCTAATATTTTGGCGTAAGTTCAAACTCTTATGATTTTGAAAGAATTTGTATCTGATATTACATATTAACCTTTGTTGAATAAACTTGGCTTAAGATGTAATTATTGTATTACTCTCTTTTTCATTTAAGTTCAATTTCATTGCTGCCCAATATGTAGAAAGTACTCTGTAGTGAACTGAACATTACATAGAAAAATAATTTTGATTATGAAAGTGGTTTAAAAGAAAACGTACAGTAAAAACTCTTTATAAAAACATTCAAGGGGGATATACTCAGAATACTTTCTTTTTTGTTGAGATTTTATGTTATATGTAGACATGGTAGCAATGAAAATAGGTTATAGGATAAGAAAAGTAAGCTCAAATAATGTCTAACTTTGTAGAGCATTTTTCCTTTTAAAGAAATTTGTTATAGAGAATTTTACATAAGTGTGTTAATTTTAAAAATGTATTTTCAGTGAAAACAGATGTCCATAACTATAACATTTAACATATTAAACATATTTATCATGTGTCAGAATCTGCAGTTCACTATATAAAATTCACATGCAATACATATCCTGTATTTTACAGCACATTGCCAGATGACATTAAACAACTTAAATCAATACACAAGTTTTACAGTGTAAAATATTTTCTGCTGCATAACAGTATACAATTAGAGACTATACAAAACATCACAAAAGAAAGTAATATTGATTTTAACAATGATATTTAAGTTATTATGTACCATTGATACTGTACAATACTCAAACACTAAGTATGCCTTAACAAGTATTGTTGCTCAGCTGATTCCAATCTCAATCAGTTTTATTGCTCAGTTTCTCTCATCCTTTGAGCAAACGCTGAGTCTCCATGTTTCACTTCTGGGCATTAATGTAATTTTACTATCTGCGCATGTTTTCTGTAGGACAGTGGGAAATATAGTTATTCATATTATTGTTCTCAATGTCCTCAAGGCAGTAAGTTGATTCCTTCATGAAGGGCACGATGAAGGATAATGATCAAAATCTGCAGCTGATTTACCTTTGCAAATAGTTACAAGAGAGTGAATATTTTCTTCTCAACTCTTGACAGAAACACGTGTTTCCATCTGTCATAATTTAACTGGTTTTTGGTTTAAGGTTCAGATTCTAAAATTTAAGGAAACGTGCACAGAATACTTTTCTCCCTATAGAACATTGTACGCAGGTTTTGACTGTCTTTGATGTTACATAAATAAATATTATTTAAAATTTGTCCTTGTTCTTTCATTATATTTAAGTAACTAAAACTAATTGTAAACAACTCTCTTAAAATATTCAAATATTTTTTAAACATTTGACAGAAATCCTGCTGTAATGGCTGATCCTCACTTTGCTCGTGATACACATATGAGGATAATTCTGGGCAATAGTGGCAGTGCAGTTGGCCGTAGTCCCACGGGTATTTTGACAACTCAGACTACAGATTTTGGCAACTCTGGTTCCAGTGCAGGGTGAGTTTCATTACATTTTTCATTTATGAAGAGATTTTTGTTGAAATGTTTGAATCAAGATTTTTTTCCAGAAGTGGTTTGCTCAAACCCCGCCGGAATGGAATTGTTACAAACCCTGCCTTGAGAATAGTTGCTGGTGTTAAAAATGGTCTTGATGCAGCAGCAGGTAGAAAACATAATGCTAATTCAAGGTTGCAGTCCTCACAACAGCACAAGAGCAATGGTTTTCAATGGCGCAAAGAAACTCCCCTTTGAGTATATTTTCCAGGTGTGTCCATAGTTTAATGTGTTACTATCACCAATTCCAGAATAAATAAAATATGTATTTTAAATTTGTGTATTTAAATGGTTTGGAAATATTTTAATCTTATTAAAATAAAATACTTGTATTATAATAATGATATTAAAATTTATTGTGAAGAACTCTAAGACTAACATTTTTTAAATGACCTTCTAGGGCAACAGTGTCTTCTCATCTTGTTAGTCAAGAAGAGTGTTTGACACAAATCTAATGCCTCAGTAAAAAGTAATCCCAAAAAATTGTGATTGAGCACAATTTGTGAAAGAAAATAGCATGTGGAGTTCAGTGATGGACTGTATTACTGACCTCTAATTTTGTTTGGTTTGAAATGTTGGCCTAGTTGTTGACCCAGAGGCCTATTTGAACAGTTTTTCTTTTTCTTGTAAAATATACATATTCTATACCTCTCTAAGTAATGGAACTATATTTGTGAAGCCTTCTTCCATTCCATGAAGATCATATGATGTGTTTTTCTTGATATTCTTGGAACCTGAAGATTTTCTGCAACAGGAAGTGCATGATTATTTTCTGAAATAGGACGTATATTCTCAGGAATCAGATATCAGAAGAGGAAATGCAGATACTATTCCTGCAATTATTTTAATTCAACTTTTCGCTTTTCAATGATTTTTATCAAGAAGAAAAAGTTCTTATGTTTGCAAAGCAAAATGTTTCATCATCATTATTATTATTATTATTATTATTATTATTATTATTATTATTATTATTATTATTATTATTATTATTATTACTATTACTATTACTATTACTATTATAAACATACACATTGACCCTTCTAGTTATGAACCGACACTGTAAAGATTGAAATTTAAATTCCAGACCTTTCCTATTTAAGAAATTTAACACCCCAACTTCATTTTTATAATTTTTTATTTCTGGAAGCATCAACATTTTTATGCATAACATTGCCCAATTTAGATTGGCAAATATTCAATAAAAAGATGTGTCATTAATATGCAAACAAAATTGCTTTGCATTTCTGATATTCTTTCTAATAGTTTTTTGTGATAATAAATGCCAAAATTCATAAATATGTAATGTTTCTGAATATTATCTAATAGTTATTTTATGTGATATATTTGCATCAAATTAATTTAAACACAAGTATTTAAATTTAAGTATTTTCTGTGTTTGTCTAGTTTGTTTATTTATTATATTACCATAATAACTTTTGATATATTTATAAAATTTAAAGACATGACACATTCTTGAATTACAAATATAAAAGAGAAGTGACTTTCCTATCTGTGTCACAAATTGATGTTTTGATCCCTTTGATGTATGAAGAAATTTTAATTTATAAATGTACTTCGTGAAAAATTTTGTTATGGTCACCTTTTGAGTTATACATTAAGTTTATAATTGTATCAAAAAAATTTTTGTACCAGCCTTGTATCAGATTTTAAGAAAAGAAATCAGAAAAAATATTTAATATTGTTAATTCTAAAATGACTGACACTAAAAATAATCTAATACATAAATAAATTGGGGCAATATGCATAAAAAATCAGATTTGTACATGTTTAGCCATGTAGAAACAAAAAAGGACTGTAATTTAATCACAGATTGAGATGCAAATGAAGGATCTGAACGTTGATATTTTGTGTCTTGATTAGAGTCAAAATATGATCTCACTGCAGTAGCAACTGTGTACAATTATTTTTAAAATTTCAGTGTACTTTTATTTTGTCCTTTGAATGTGTGAAGTGTTTTCAAGATATCAAAAGAACAAGGAGGCTGCATTTGTTAGTTTCAAAATCATTCTCTGAAGATTGAAGATGATATTGATAATGATTTAGGGTGCTCACTGGAATCAAACAGTTATTTTCCTCGGAGTTGGTGTGCAATTTTGTTGCTGTGTCCCGTAAATATTTGTGAGTATACAATCCTTTCAGTTGTCTAAAAATTACTGTTGTGAAAAATAATGAGAAATTTTTTACTCTATTTAATTTTATTATATTTTAATTATCCTTCTTCTGAATTCCATAATTTATAACATTTGTTAGTGTTACATTGTCTTATTCTCATTCATAATTTATATCCTCTTATACACTCCCTTATTTTGTATTAGGCAAGAATTTTTATTTTAAAATATTATAATTAGTAGATTAGATTATTTTTAAGTAGAAAATTGTTTTGTTCAGTGAATCTAAATGTTTTATGTAAAGAATGATAGCCAATTCATAAAATTTCTAGAAGTACTTTTCAAATACTTTCCATTTTTGGATCTATCCGTGTACTAGTTCTATGAAGATAAGAGTTGTAGTAGATATTGCCTTGAAAGTAAAGTAAAGAAAAAAGTTTTAAAACAATTCCTTAATTATAGAAATACAGTGTAAGCAGTTATTACGAATTGTAATATTTCTCCAGTGTAAAAAGTCCCTTTTCTCAACTTAACACATTCTATAATTCAAACTGAAAGCAGATGTAATGTTTTAAACAAAATTTAATTTCTGTTTTGTGAACTGTTTTATTTGTACTACTATTTATGCAATAGTAACATGTGTTCCATTTTGCTTTGTAGAGATCATGGTGAACCAAGAGGTGAATTCGAGGAAGAATGAAATTGATCACAGTTGTCCTTGGGTTTTAATACATAAAATTAAGGCGATCTGATAATTTCACATTCAACTCATCTCCAAACAATTGCCATTAATATGCAAACCACAAATGGTTTGTCCAATCCAAGTAGCAGAAACATATAAGTTCATCCTTATGCTAATCGCCCTATGTCTGAATGTTCCCGCTTCATCTTTGCAATTGTGCCTCAGAGAGTTACTGATTTATTAAAATAATCTGGGACTGAACAGCTTTTTTAACCTTAAACAACAATAATCATTTTAAATAAATTCTTGTATTGAAATACTATGCTAATAGATCTAAACAAAGTAGTATGCTTCTGTATTATCTCTTAGCACGGTTCAGTGATTGTCTTTCTGTCTTTGTTGGTGTCCCTCTGGAGTAGCATTGATGACTGCACTGAACTTCATTGCCTTGATTACAAATATCTGTGGAAACTTCTGCCATTTCTTTAGCATAGAAATCACTTTAATGTTCAAACATTGATTAGGATACATGGATTCCTCAAAATATGTGATGACATTTTAAAATAATTGAAACATAAGTGCAATAAGTATCAGGAACCATAATGTTACGTGTTTGTTCCTAATATAAATGGTTGCTGTTGGTTGAGGTATAGGCAACGTGAATTCCCAGAATGTCTTATTAAAACTTTATAGAGAATTGACAACTAAAGAATTACAAGACTTTTTAATGTATAGAGTATTTTGAATGGATGTTGAATGTTGTAAGAAATATTGTAAGTAGGGTAGGGCCTACACATCTCTATTGCTATATATTATTAATATATGTGTAAACTGCCAAATGTATGTATTTAATTCAGATAATTTAATTTTAATAGTTAATTATTTTGATTAATTATTGTATCTTTATATTTTTTGTGATTATGATTATACTTGGAAATTTATGTCAATGTAATATGAGATTACTTAATATTACTTTGCGATAGATTTCTCCAAATGTGATTATTTATTTCTCCAAGTGGCATGTTATCAAAATCACACTGAACAAAACAATGTCTTTTCACATAGAAAGTAAATCTCTTAATAGAGGAGGATCACCTTAGTAATATTGACTGGGTATATAAAAGAATTTTCTGCCAACAAATGCTGCAAAATTTTATAATTTGAGCCACTAGAGTGTATAGTAGAAAATACAATGCATATACTGAAAGCAGTAAAGCTAAAATTCATTGCTTTTCTCATGATTGGAAACTGGCTTTACCAAACACTGATACACAACTAGTTTGCAGTATATTATGATTATAGTATTGATCATACCAAGAAAATAAATATGTACATGATGAGCCGGAAAAAGATGTTTCATTTTAATTTCTCTGATAACACCCTATTCCCAGGTATCTTCTTCTTGTCCTTATGCATGAAATAAAACATTAAATATAATTTGTTGATCCTTTTTAATCATTTTATAAATAATGTATAACAATGAAGGCAATAAGTCCTTAAATATGATTATATGAGATAATATAGAACAATTTACAAGTTACATGTTTAAAAATGCTAATTTTCACATATTCTAAAATCAAATTGTGAAAATTTTGCATTTGAAATTTGGATATTGCTGGGTTTGAAGTAACTGCTTTTTATTATTCATTTCTCAATTTTTATATTTGATTTCACAGAATATAAAATTTACTGACTTTGATGATGTGAAAAGTAAACTTTTTAATTTTTAATCTACAAGACAACTTTGGTTGTATTTTATTTCAGAATATTTCTATCATTTTCAGAAATGACATTGGTTTAGCAATATTTTTATTCGATAGCATAACTGCATCTTCATGCTGGGAAATGACCATTTTGTTCATATAGTTGGTATTTTAGAAAATTTGAATTAACCAATTTTTGAAGATCATAGACTTTAGACCTATTAGACCTAGTTTTAGACCTATTTTTACTACCCTAAAAAATAACAATAAAACAATTTATGCAAAGTTTTAAAAAACCTTGGGTATTATATAGGTAGATTCCAATGTTAAGATTGACCAAGTACCAGTAACTAAATTTCAGAAAAAAAATGGAGATTTGCTGGGTTTGAAACCAGTCCTCTCATATATGAAAATTTAATTATATTACCTGTTTTTCATAAAACATTATAATTTTTGAACTCTTTTGTTACTGTTTGGGATTGATGTTAAGATATTTTAAAAATTAATATAATTATAATATCTATTTTGCTCAGTTATTAGTTTTACATCATTAAAAATTTTAATTTTTTACCTGACTAACTATTTTGGGACAACTAAACTTGCTCTTTGACTATTATTAACTTGATTGAAGGCTGAGAGACCTGAAATCTTTTTTCCCTCCCTTTTTCTCTCCCTTTGAAACTCAAAAAAATATTATGTATAAGCAAATAAAAAATGACATTTTACAAAAACTTCTGAAACAAAATTTTCTTCAATACATCTTCAAATATTTTGTTAAAACCTTCATTTGAAAAGATGCAATTTTCCATGATGTTTCTATGTTCTCTGTTCTATGGTCCTGGAACATTTAAGGAAAGGTAACAAAAATATAGAAGCTTCATGATCAAAATTAATGTCTATAATATTATTATTACAATAAATATGAAACGATCTCTAAATATCATATACTACATCACTTTCTGTGAAGTTTAAGAATTTTGAGAAAAACAATTATGAATATGAGAGCTAAAGTAGAGTGCTATCAAGAGGTCAAATTTGTCATTTTTTCCAGAATCAGATAATGAGTGAGTGAAATGAAGATCATCTCATACAACACAGTCTGAAAGAATCCTTAAAAAGACTGAACAATGTTTTCTTCTCCAATTTTTTTTGTTTGGGGATTCCTTGACTTGCAAGTGTGGAAATCATGAACAAGGCACCTAATATGGATTGTGTGTCTGGCAAGATAAGCTAATACTTTTTCAGCAGGGAATGTCAATCTCTCCAGAGTGGGAGGATCCCTGGTATTCCCCCTCCCTCCTTTCAAGCATTCTTGCAATGGCAACAGATTCCTCTATATATCATTGAAAGGTATAGATTCAATTTTAAATAACAAATTATTGACATTCAAAGTTTCTCTTACATGTTCAGAAATAGACATTGTTGGATTTTAATTTATTTGATGAAATAATCATATTCATCAGGTGTCAGCATCAATAGCCCACTACAAAAACTTCACTTACAATTCACACACATTATTTTACAACACATTTCTAGCTGCCATTAAATAATTGAATTCAATAAACTAGTTTAAGTACCAAGTACAATATTTTCGGATGCATAACTATTGAATTAGAGACTATTCCAAGCATTAAAAAGAAAAGTAATATTAATTTTAACAATGATTTTGAATGTATTAATGAACATCTGGTCTGTATAATTCAAAACAATCTGTAACAATTTTTGTACCTCCACTTCTGTGTCAATGACCCTCATCTCGTTGAGGTTTTTTATCCAGTTATCTGGTCCTTTGAGTGATTTGCCTTTGCAAATAGTTCTTGTTACACTGGAGTAAATTTTTCTGATCAATTCTTGCCAAAAATATTTGTTTCATCTGTATTCAGAATTCAACTTGTATATGGGATAGGGTAAGGATCACAGAATTTCAGAAAACATGCATAGAATACATTTCTTTCTATTGCACATCACACACGGTTTTTAACAGTTTCTCTCCCTAAATAGATAAATAAAAATTGTAGTTGTAAGAAATGGTTGATATATTAATTGAATATAAGTTCCGACAGAAATATTATAATATTTTCTAATTTACAAGTACTATGAATACAAGAAATTCTGTACAGAACCACTATTTTCAATAACTACATCTTAAATTTTATGTGTTCACTATTCCTATTTAAACAAGAAATTTGTTCACAATTCCAGATAAGCAAGACATTTGCGGGAGTAGTGCATAATACAACTATGAGTAACTTCTGTAATTTTCAGAAAAGTTCTCTGTCAATACATGCTGATCCTGTTGTCCTTAGATCTTTTGAAATTAAAACAATTTCTTACTCTAACATGAAATTTCTATCAGTATTATGAGTCTTAAATAGATTAGTTGTTTCAAGATATTTCATAGTACCCATTATTACTTCTACTTCAGTTACCCCACCATCAGAAACATACTGTTTTGGGGAATCTGTGGGTAGTCCCTGCATTTTGTTGCCTTTGAATAATTATGGCATTTATGTAAAAACTGAAAAGAGAAGGTGGTATTAGATACCATTGCCTTACTCTCTTATTACTCAATATTCTTTGCTGATTTTGTTAATGCTTCATGTTTTCATATGATTATTAAGGTACGGAATTTGCTCTGTACTGCTCTAATTAAAGCTAAAAATACTTATACAAACTTTTTATTTAGTACTAATCAACTGCATAGTATCTGATCTATTTCCAGACCTTACATTAATTATTACCTTCACACATGGGTAATAAAACCATAGGGCACTGTTGAGTTTTAGTAAAAACACAATTTTTAATATAATTTTACTACACACATATATGTAATTGATACAAAATTTATTGATTTTTAGTGGTGGCACAAGACCATCTGGAATACATACCGGACTAGTAGGCCTAAATTTGAGCAAAGGGCCCCTTTGGTAAATAGAACTCGTCTTGGTAGGGTGGACTCCCTAAATAGACAAGTTCCATTAGCGACAGTGCATTGGGCTAGAGATCTCCTCTTATACCTCCCCTAATCATAATACCTATTTTAAGAAACTTTGTCTAAGAACACACTGAAAGCTGACAAAAATTTCATTTGAAATATTCAAGGCTTACATGCCTGAGAAAGATTATGTTCCATACTGAGTCTTATCTCCCATACTCCAGATTCCAGTTCCCATATTCCAGACATAGCAGTTAAACTTGGAGCTTTATACTTTGTACTTCTTAACATGATTATTTTAGACAATGTCAAGAAATAAACCAAAATGCACAACAAAAGGGGCTGATCAAAGATGATACTCATACTAGGTTCTTGTTCAGACAGTTGACGATGTTAAAAATGGAAACTACTTGAGGCTACTGCTTTCCACTACAGTTTTCCTAGAAGCACTCTCTACCACTCTATGAATGAGACAGGATATATAGGAATTGTCTCTCAGAATGGAATTCATATTATATCATTTATATTGAAAAACTAAATTACACTCATTTTTTAAGATCAGTTAATCTTGGCAAATAAAACTTTCAAGTTTTCGTGTTGGTAAAAAATTGAACAAAAATCAATTTTAAGAGTAAACTATGTTGTAAAAGTATGGCTCAGTTTTCCAAATTTACCTTACTGGATGAAATAGCCCAGATTTTAAACTTAGGATACGCTACTGATTGTAGTATCAATAAATATTTTTGTTATTTTACTCCTATTTTGCCATAAAGTAATATGATTGCTGCAATTATGATTTTTAATTTTTGTTTTTTGAAAATTAAAGGTGGTAATTCAGCAGTTTTGAATTTAATAACTCTTCCAAAATCTTTGTTACTTTCATTAGAAGTTTGCAGAGTTTGACAGAAATATTATTTTCTAATGTTCAAATTTTGCATCGTTGTCATGAGTTACACTTTTTGTTCTGAAATGCATTCTTTGTTTCTGACAATAACACATTCACAATATCTCTTCTCTGAAACATCATTTTCTCAAAAATTCAATTACAAAATACAAACGGAAGATAATTGGAGAAGAAATGAAAAATGTTTCATTTCTTAGTTTTGTAACAGGTATTTGCCTCTTAATAGTTTTGCAGTAAAGTTTTCTTGTTACTTAAATGTTTCACAGATAAGCTAGAGGCAGTTTGGATGTAACTTTTGGATTTAATATAAAAGGGTATTCAGTATTTCATTTTTATCTTTTCAAAAGATATATCTTCAGGGAAATGAAATGTTAGTAGCTAAGTAAGTATAATGGTGATAAATTTGTGCATTTTCAACATTATATATTTCACAAAGTGAATGAATGATCAGGATTAACAAATACTTGTGATCAGAATTACTTCCACTTTCCAAGTTTTAGTTAGTCATTCCTTTGTAAAATTACATTGAATGAATGTGAGAGAGCAATAATCTATTTCTAGCCCAAACATCACTCTACAATACACATAATACTCAATCTACAATAGAAAACATGGTGTGAATATGGAAAATAATTTGCCATGGAACGTAAGTTTTGTGAAATTGATGAAGAAAGGTCTTTCATTGTAAGAAAATACATTATCTTGCTGGACTGTTAGATATTTAGTTACTACTCCAATACAAACAATGGTATTAACGAAATTGCATTTCCTTTTCTATATCAAATGTGAAGATTCCATATTATAAATCAATCCAAACACTAGCATTATTTGGATGATACTAGTTACTGAACTTACAGTGCTTTGACTTTACTTAAACATTAAATGTATGAGAGAACAACAGGCTTATATAGACCCCTGGAATAGGGATCTTGGTTAGTGACTAGCAGGAGTAGTCAGAGGGGGGGCTGCTGGAGCAACTTGCCCCAGGTCCTGAATTATTGGGAAGCCTACATTTCTTCATTAAAAAAATATTTACTTCTAATTCCAATGAATTGCTATAACTTATTTCTGTTGCTTGAAGAAATGTATTCTGTTTATGTATTGGGCGGGGGGGGGGCAACATGAGAATTTAAATTGGGGGTCATGGAGGACTATATCTCTGTATTCCTCTATGTAAGAGTCTACTATCTCACGCCAACCCTTGGTGAACAACGGAACTCATTGAAGCTAAGATCATGGTGAATATGTTGTGTTTTATTTTATGTGGAAATTCCCAAAATGTAAATTAAAACGTTTATCATCTTCAGATATAAGTAAAAATTTATAACTATTGTATTCGTTATTCCAATCACAACCGACATTCTTTTCCACATCGCCGTTCCGATACTTCTTTCGTAACGTGTTCGGGACAAAAAAGAAAGAAAAAAACAAACGTTGTGTTATCTCATGCTTTTAATCCCATTACATGACCCCTCCCCCAAATAAACAACAACAGTGTTTCCTGAATAGCAGTATTTGGGATGCACACTATACGCGCAAGTTTTCTTGATATTCCACAGCGGTGGGTGCGGGGAGAGGAGGAATCTGGCTTCGTCACGGCTTAAAAGGACGTACTAACTTAAAGCCCCAAAGCGTGCCACGAGAAATGCTACGATTGTTTTGAAAGCACGAGGTGGTTGTTGCCAGCATTGTAAATTGGTACGTGCCGTTCTCAGTCGAACCTAAGAATCTCAACGTGCCGTGCTATTCAGCGTTGGTTGAAGACTACGGTGCAAGAAAACTTGCGCGAATACTAGGCACATCCGCCTTACTTTCTAATGAAAACTCGCGAAACACCAACTCCTCCCGCCCTCCCAAGTTACATCAAGAGAAAACCTACAAGTACAACTGTTAATTGCAACTACAATTTAATAAGTTGTTTTATTCATTTGATTGTATTGCTTGAGAAAATGTATGATTCGAAAATTTATATACTGATGGTTTCTTTTTCGTTGCCACTTTCTTTATACATAGTTATGAATAGTTCACATTAATGATCGTATCTCGTGCTTGCTGTTTGTTTCAACATACGGGCAAGTAACGGAGATTTAATTTTAAAAAAAATTGAAAATGGACTTTATGTTTTTTAACTTATTAGCACCATGGAGCTACGATGATCACCGGAATAATGTGTTTAGTTCACAATATGAGTGTGTTATACTACGTCGTAGTATACAATAGATGCTTTGAATTGGTGCCAAGAATTAGAGTATACCAACATTACAAAATTGTTTGAACATCAGAAGATCGATTGGTTCAAAGATAAGAGGACGTAAGATTTCATGCGGGTATCTATCTGAAAGACGATTAAGTGAATGTTGATTTATTTGACGGAACAGTGCTGGCAGAAAATGCAATTTAACTACTTGTTTAAAGTGACTACCAACGCCATTGATAACATTAGATACCTATATTTTCTTTCCCCCATATATTCGTGCAAATAGCGCTAGAGCAGTAGTACGTGATGTTTTATCTGACGAAGTGGAAAATCCTGTGACAGTTCATGTCAGCATCAGTTTGGAAAGACCTAAGAATAATTGTTATGTAGTCTGTTTTGATGTAGTGTGTATTACTAGTCATTAGAACATTTGAATGAAAAAATCACAATCTGTTAACATTATGATAAGTCAAGATCAAGGGGAGAGTGGTAAGGAAGATTCTGAAAATGGGGAAGGTAAAACCTTTATTTTATAAGGACACAATTTAATCTGTAGAACAGCAAATAATAATAGATTTCTTTGCAGACTTGTCTTCCCACACCATTCCAGGGACATCGGAATGTTCTGAAAGAAGCCCATCTGTAACTGATGAGGCATCTGTAGATTGTTCAGAGAAAAGCATATCAGTTCAAAAATATGAGTGAGTATCATTTTAGTTACCTATTAATAATGTATTTGTATTGAGTGTGTATGGGAGAAATTTACATTGATTAATGGTTTTCTCTTTAGTAAATGTGTTGATTTGTTTTGATCTTAGGGAAGAATGGGAACAAATATATTTTCACGAAGATCCTGACTTGGGAGAATTGCGGAGGAGGGCTGTTACTGGCAATCTGCGTGCTTCCCGTTTCAGGAGTGTATGTTGGAGAGCTCTTCTGAGTGTTTTTTCTAATGATAAAAGCAGTTGGTTGAAAGAACTTAGACGATTTCGACAGCATTATGAACAAATGTCTCAGGAATTTTGTGTAGATCCTTGGTTAAATAGCAACCCAGAAGATAATCCTTTGAATCAAAATGCTGGTGTAAGTTGATTTGTTGATTACTTCTTAGAATAAACTTAACTATTCATTTATAGTTGGGGTCTCCTCTTCTTGAAAACCTCCCTCCTCTTTTGAATTACCAAGAAACCCTCACAATTTGAATTTTTTTTAAAATTACTTGCCTGATCAGTAACTAGGTGTGTATAACTTTCTAAATCTCTTTAATAAAAAATAATCTCTTGGAAGTGGATGTACCCTGTTGCTAAAATTTGCAAGCATGCGGTAGTTTGCCATGTGTGGCAACTGACCACATCTTCAGTGTCATTTCAGATGGTTGTAATGTTACATGTGTGTACTATTTCATTGAGCATTGACTTACGAATTTACATCAAACACCTCTTTTTCAGCAACACTCATTTATCCTTTGGACCTTATTTACATGCTTCCTTTTAATGAACGATTTCAAGAGTTTTGGCAAACGTGCAAATGCACACAATGGGTCTGCTGCCTCAGATGCTGCTGTTGTGTGTGTGTGTGTACGTGCATGTGCACGTACGCACACTTGTGGTGGTGGTGGTGGTGGGGGTGTTCTGAAACTCTTGAAATCATTTATCAAAAGCAGCTTATAATTTAGTCTTACATTATTCACGATAAAAATGCTCGGTTAAAGTTTAGTATACAGTACACCCTTAGAAAAGCGTGGCGGCGGGGCTTAAGCCCTAATTCCTGTACATACTCTAATAGAAATGAGTAAAACTTACGAGTAGGAAATTTTCATGGTTCGCCCTTTATGTGCTTTGTCCCCGCCGCATTGTAACGCCAATTTACATTCAAAGGCAAGTTTTCTCGTTTCGCTCGCCCGGATCCAAGTCACGGCAAGGCTTGGGCCTTTGGCCCTCGTGTTCACTATAAACATCCTTGACTCTATCCAACGCATAATTACCAATTCACTTTTATAAGAAAGTACTTTTCAAGAAAGACTCTAGAATTCTAATTGCCTAGTTAACGCCGGAATGGCGTTAGTGCCGGTTTAAAGATCTTCCTTAAGTTGTACCGTATACTACATTTCAGCCAAATGCTCATTCACAAGCCAATTTGTTAACTAATCACACTAAAATATCTGAAGTAAGCTAACAAAATTGCCAAAGGGCATCTGACTTCTATGCTCTCAGGGAAGATGCATGTGAAAATTACCTGTGCATATGTTAGTCTACAGAATCAGCCAAGATAGTGAATCAGAAAACCTTCAAATTTATGTGAATTTGTTTATTTATGAATTTACTAAATAAAGTCCCTCTTTGCTGGTGGTGGCTGCTCCAGCTAGGTTGCGCCCGTACCTTGTTGACTTTGTGAGTGTGTTTGTGTGTTTCAGAGCCCGATTGCAGATATGTATCTCCTCAACCCAATCCTTATTCCCTGCTAGCTCCTTTTAAGGTTGGCAGTGGTGTAAATCATCACTTTGAAAGGTAGAAGTGTATAGAAAGGGTAGTAATCTTCAATAGATGATTCCTCAATGGTAGCAATGTTCTATAATTATTCTTGAATGTTCTTTATTTATAGAGTTCCTGGCATCAGCACTTCTGTGACAATGAACTGAAAGCTGTTATACGTCAAGATGTTGTCAGAACATTCCCAGGGGTCGACTACTTCCGCAAAGAAACTGTTCAGAAGGCCATGTTAAATGTTTTATTTGTGTATGCTCGTGAAAATCCAGATATGTGTTACAGACAAGTGAGTGTCATATAGATTACCTGTCAAGTCGGTAACAAAGGGGATTTTTTGTTGATGTATATTGATGTCTTTTAAAGAAAACAAAACAAAAAATATTATCAGCAGTTATTCATTAATTAGAATGTGTTTATTGATAATTGTTAGTTGAAAATATGATTAAAAAAGGACGTTATCTGAAGGCATTTGCCATGTAGTTCTGTGTTGGTTACATTCTCTTTGATGGAAATTAATCAAATTTAATTTGTATTTAGAAGGGTTAATGAATGTGAAGAACAAGAGCATGAGGCTCTTTATTAATAAAAAATAAGGTTAATAAGTAATAATAATAGAAATTATTAACATCAGTGTTTTTATGAGTTAATGGCACCAAACCAACATGTTTGTTGATAACACTACCTCGACAAAATGTGACCAAATATAAACAATTCTTGTTGTACCTCTCTTAAATTAGATCCCCTCTCCTCCAGCATTATTAGGAATTTTATTGATTTTGGACATTAAATAAATTAATGAGTAGACCCAATATTGTGCGTAGGTAAACCTTCTAATATTGCTAAATGATTTCTAACAAACAAGGTTTTACACTAGTGCTTTTAAATTGCGCAGAATATCAAATTGTCAGTTTTATTTTTCTTACATTGTAGATTCTGTTTTTCTGACATCTCATACTCTGAAGTATATTGTAGAAGAACTAAAATTCCAAAAATATCATAGAAAATATATCTTTTTATAGACTTTGGCCTAAGAGGAGGGGGACTGGAGAGTGATTTTGAGGAGTGAAGGATGCCCTGTTTCAGAATTATACTCAGTGGTAACAAGTGCTAAAGATTGTATTTGGAGCTCTTGATTTGTTCACCGGATAATCTACAAAATTCAAATTTTTATCTTAAATGTGTCCTCTGGGTGGCAATTCCTAATTTATCAGAACATTTACAGGATTTTGTGTCAATGGTGCTTCATAAATCATACAAAGCTATTATCTTTCTGTAGCCATACTTTGTATAGAAGAGACTGCTGCGATGGCTACATTTCCGTTTTCAAAACAAGTTGTTGGATTTAAATATGATTTTATTCTTTCCTGTAGTTATTCCTCATAATCTAATATGTGTTAAAAGTGTGGTGATCAGCATGTAGTTTACTTTAAATAAGAAATAATCTGATCACAGGGTTGATATGGTGCTGATTAATTGATTATGGATGAGTGTAATTAACCAAAACCTGAAATAATTGGAAATGTAACATGCACAACTATTTATTCTAAATAATTGGCAGAGTTCAATTACCTATTTTTAAAGCACTTGATTCTTTAATCTCTTAAAACGAGAGGAAAAATCTAATTATTTATCCAAATTTGGTTAAAATTGTATAAATTGAACAAAAACTGCTGTTTAATGCACTTTCAGCCTGCCAGGTAACTAAAACAACTTTATAACAAGAGACCAGATGTTTGGCAAAATGCTTATAATCCTTTATTAGAGGGGTCATAAAAACTACAATGTGCAAGTCATGGTATTAGTGTTATATGATAATTTTGCATGTTTCTGCTTATTTTTTTTAGCAATGCCTATTTATCTCATTTTCTGTATTAATTTCGTAATTCACCTACTCTTTTAACAGATTCAGTTACATAGATCCTCGAATAAGTTTTGCAAAGATTTTAATTTTTTTCTAAATTAACTCCAGATAAAAGGTATTTATTATTTTAGAAAATGATAATTTGGAGATTCTAAATGGAAAGAAATTAGCACAGTAAACTCTGATATTCTGATTGTACACACTGATTGTATATTAAGACAATGTCATAAAGTCAACAAATTCCAGAAATCTTTTCACATTTCTTCAAGTTACAAAGTTTAAGGAAACTAGTGAAAATTACTCTGAAGTAAGATAACATAGAATGGTAATAAGGCACTTGAATTCCCAATGAACATTTTCCAATAAAATCTCAGCTTCTTTTAGAAATATTGCTCAGAATTCACAACATTAAAAAGAAAATTGAAGACACTCCCAAGCATTGAAATAAGCAAGGAAAAATAAGAGAGGTTATTTCCAATATTCCTAACTTTTAGTAGTTAAAAAAGGGGGGATGATTCCCCCCTAACCTAAGGGGGGAAAATATATTTCATCTGAAATTGATACTAACATTGTAGCTCTATATGTGTCACAATAATGTCAGTTCACATGGAGAGATGGAAAATTTTTAAGAAGTGCATTGGTATGTCCAATTAATTACAATATCTTAATGACGGCAGAGATTTATTGTGTGCTGAGAGTATGTAGTGGGGTATGTTAATTAGCTGATCAATGTACTAATCATATTTTTTATTGCCTTATGCCTGTATATTTTGGACTTTTTTGGTTCTATATTTTATAAAATAATATAATATAAAAAACTTTTTATTCTATTTCTAATTTTGGAATATAATTGTTAATTCAATTCTTAAGTTTGTATTTTCAAACAAGGTAAATGAAATATGATCTTAAAAACCTTTTAAATCATAGTAATGGTACATATCGTTTTGTCCTAGGGTATGCATGAGATTTTGGCTCCATTGTTGTTTGTTTTGCACTGCGATCATCAAGCACTACTTCATACAAAGGAACAGGTGCCAGTAAGGTAATGGATCGCCAATTTTAATATATCTTCACTTAAATAAATTGATGCACTGTTAATAAATGCTTCTTTTATTACAGTGATTCAGTAAGTGAAATGCTTGATCCAGCATATCTTGAAGCTGATTCCTAGTAAGTATCTATTTAATTATGATAAATGAAGAATTTTGTTCATGTACTTTTTAAAAAAATGACTTATTTTTAATTTTTTTATGTTTGCAATGATTGCTAGATAATTAGGTAGGTTTTACTCTTCTTTAATATTCTTGAAGTAATATTTGGGTTGTACTATTAGGAAAATGAAAAATTGAGAAAATAGTAAAATTTACTTTAGGTGGCAATTGATGGCAGCGAGTAAGAGTATGTGGCAAGTCCGAATAGGTAGGTCCAGAGCAAAGAACATAAACTAATACAAAAACGTCTGTGCCGTTATGTGGCACCTGGTTTGTATTGATTATGGAGTAGATTGCATATCTATGTTCATTTAATAATTTTAATTATGACTTGGTGCACATGTACTGTTATAGTTAATCCAATTTATGTATGTTTTTAAAGATACAGAAACCAATTATTTATTTTAGATCAGAAATTAAAACTTGCAAAAACATATTTTGTTTTTATAAACACTTTTTCTGAATATGTTAAGTGTTACCTGCTGCTCAAACCCGTTTTCTTGATACAGAAGCAATTGATGTAAGAATCCAATCTTTAACAATGACCAGTTATGTAAATAAATAAGAAATTGTTTGGATTTTCTGTGTGTGTGAAAATGAGAATGACTTTTTGGTTTTATAAATTAGCTAACAAACTGCCCTCAAATAATAAATTGTGGAGTCCGGCAAGGATCCATCCTTGGGCCAATACTATTCCTTATATACATAAATGACATGCCTTTGGCTTTAAGGAACAACAAAATAATTTTGTTTGCAGATGACACAAACATAATCATTAAAGTAAAAACAACAACATAGTAAAATGGTTTCAAGACAACAAACTCATCATAAACACTAGCAAGACAGTCTCTAAATTTCATGAATCCCCGATCTATAGAACAACTCTCACAGAATTTGCTCACAAACAATAACCCTGTAACAATATCTCATGAAACTACCTTCCTCGGACTAACAAGTCAAGAAAACCTAAAATGGAATGCTCACATCTCAAATCTCAACAAGAAGCTTAGCAAATCTTGCTGTGCCCTATACACCCTCAGGTCAAGCTCCAACATTGAGACACTTTGAACAATGTATTTTGCAAATGTGCACTCACACCTAAAATATGGAATAATATTCTGGGGAAATGCCCCTGAAAGCACTCGCACATTTATTATCCAAAAAAGAATATTGCAAACAATGACCAGCACTCATAAGCTGGAGTCTTGGAAACCCTTGGTTAATAAACTAAGGATACTTCCTCTACCATGCATGTATATATTTGAAATAGTGGTCTTCACAAAGAAAATTCTCATGGAAAACAAAGACACTTTTACTTTAAATTCTGATGTACACAGCTACAACACGTCAAAAGGATAACCTACATGTTCCTCACTCTGAAACTACACTTTATCAAAAAAGTACCCTAATAGAGTGTATTACACTTTACAACAAACTAGGCAATGGTATTAATGACATAAACACAATTCATACATTTAAAAGTAAATTGAAAGCTTTCCTGCTTAACAACATGATCTACAGTGTAAAGGAATATTCAATGCATCCTGTGTATTGTTCAGATAAGTATAATTATGTAATATTAATGTATTATAATGTACTAATATTGTTAAATTTAATGTAGTTGCTAACAATGATATGTATTGTTCTGATATTATTATTATTATTATTATTATTATTATTATTATTATTATTATTATTAATGTAATGTACATTTCTGTTGCAGTTCTTTATTTTGTCTTATTATGGAAGGAATTTCATGTTATTATAAAATAAATGATAGTGCACCATCAGCTACTGGCTATTTCCCTCCAAATCTGCAGTCTCCTGTTCCACCTGTGAGTATGCATTGGCCACTCATCCATAGAGATCCTTACATCATATCTAACACAAGTGTGTTCTAGCCGGGTGGAAAAGGAAAAGAAAATGAAATACTTGTGCAACTGGAGTCTATAAAAGAGAATCTTCTGGTACCCAATGATAAGGAATTGGCTGAATACCTCAATCGTCTGGAAATAACTTTACCAGTATTTGGAATGTGAGTACCATTATGTAGGATGTTGGGTAACACTTAATTTTAATCTCATAATTTTTAAAACTTATGTGATTGATTTTTCCCACTTGTGTTCGATTTTTTTTGGCAGCATGTGTGTATCTTACTGCATATTACTAAATATTAATTTAGAAGAAATTAATTATTAATATTTATATGCACATACATAGAGAAGGAAAAGGTTTGTTTATTTGTAGTAAAGAGAAAATCATGACATCATGAAATTCAATCAAACATCATCACATGGCAAAACAGTACAATAGTGTTTTTGCCTCTGGATAAAAATAAGTGTTTATGGTTTATTTTTGTATGCTCTCTCCAAGTATGATTGTAGTTTTCCTTCTACACATACCATTTGCTTAGGTTTCAAATTTTACTATTCTGTACAAATATTCCTGATTAATAATTCACACATTCACCATTCACTGCTGAACTTTATTTGAATTTCTAATCCAATAAAGCTGTATCATTTGTGGGTGCTGCCATCCACCTTTACAAATAAAACAATTTTACTGTTTCTGTCTTGAACTAGTAATAAATAGAAGCTTGAGCTAAAGTAATAGAAGTTCACTTGGTATGCAGCAAGTTTTCACCAACTACTGCTGTTTTATGTGTGAGTGGGGTAGCCTAGTGGCCCTAGAGAAAAATCTACAGTCCAGACAAATGAGTGTGGCCAATAAACCAATTAGTTAACCCACAAGATGTGTTTCTCCCAACTATCCATAACCCACTTGGTTTCATGAGAAATTTGTGAAGGCACTGGGCTGGGAGGGTCAGTGAGGGAAATGTAAAATAATATTTTTATTGGCACAGAAATCCGTAAAAGCAAGCTCTGGATTTTCCCAACTCATTGAGTGATAGATTTCCCGACTCATAGAGCTTTTTAAATCATAAACTTTTGTTATTATATTGTATATTTTTGTAGTGTCAGTATGCCATATATTTTTTTAAAAATAATTACGTAATTCTAATATAAATAAATATTAAAATTCATTTTAACAAATAATACAACAACGTTTTTGTCTAAGCCTGCGGGGAAGGTGCATGGCGTAGATCTGCCACTAGTGCTATCTAACCTGTGTGGTAGATAACATGGCCTATGTAATCTCTTGCTGTGTTGAAGGATGCACTTGATTGCAACATTGTTGCCGTTGCCTGATATATGGCATCTTCTGAACAACTATAAACTTATAGTTTTATATGAACTGGTTTTCTCTTCTCCAGCCGATGGCTTCGCCTCCTCTTTGGAAGAGAGTTTCCACTTCAGGATCTTTTGGTGCTGTGGGATGCAATTTTTGCAGAGGGAAAAGATTTTGGTCTTGTTCATTATGTGGTTGTGGCAATGTTAGTTGCCATTCGAAATCAATGTGAGTACTTTGTATAATCCAGCTTCTTCTTTCTAATTTTCTTTGGTGATCTAATTGTAAGGCTTACAAATGTGAGTGTAATTTTTCTTTATAGTGTTGGATTCAGATTACACCACTTGCTTGATGCATCTCATGAGGTATCCAGGGGCTGTTGATATAACATTCATAATAGAACATGCATTATACTTGAAAGATCATCAGGTAAACAACTCATTTTTTAATTAAATTGGGATTTCTTCAATAAAAATTTGGTCAGGATAGTTACTTAATCTTGGCTAATAACAAGAGTAATTATGAAGCAGCTTCATTAGGATACTACTTACTAGGATATAGTAGATTTGTGAAAATGCAAGGTCCAGTTAACTGAGGCAGGCATCGAGCAGTAAGTAATCTGTTGATTACTTGCAGAGGTGTGTGAAAAGGGGAACGCAGATGCAATAGTAACTAGCCATTTGTTCTTTGGGTGATGTTGACTCTGATTCTAGCAGTTTTGGAACTTTCCCAAATTTGATATTTATTTGATTCATTTGTCAAACACTGCATTTGTTGTTGCCATTCTCAGTTTGAGTTAGTTTTTTGTGACTATGGTAAATGTTTTCTTAATTTGTATTTTGATTTTTGAAATTTATAAACCTACTTTCTTCATAACCAAAGTAGTCTTGGTCCTAGTTACCTTGGATAATCAAGTTTTCTAACTTCCATTACACACAGCTACATCTTGTGAAGTCTGCTCTTTCATTATTTTATTTGTTTTTCATGTATAAGATTTTGATCAGGATAGTTACTCAATGTTAGTAACTAAGAATTTTATGTTGGTTAACAGAAATACAATCGCCCGGTTTGTACAAGTTTTCCTCCACTACCCAAAAAAGCTTCTGGACAGCCAGAATCACATCGTTCTGGTCATTCAGGAAGACACTTGAGTACTCACAGTCTACCTCGAACAAAATCTGTGTCTTCCGTGAATCGCGATGAGAAAAGTCAACAGCGAAAACCACGTGCAGCATCAGGATCTTCACTCTCAGACAGGTGATGTCACCTTCTGGTCTAGATACATATTTAAAAAAAAAAAGATTTTGGCCTTCAGAAGATTGCAAACAGTGGTGTGCAATTTAAACCCATGTATTTTCATTGTTTTTATGAATATTTGTATTAATAGAAGAATCGCTAGAAATCAGAGAAAGTTTGAAGAGGGATATAAAATAAGATGGGATATAAAATAAGACCTTAAAAATTTAGTCCATCTTTATTTTTTGCTGATTTTTTATTTGGTGAGAAAACCTTGTTAATTTGTTCTTTGTGATGGTAAAATCATATAGCTGAGCAATTAGTATCAGGGCTCCAGTATTTTCTTCTTGTGTGAGATTACAAATCTTATCAAGAAAATAATTTTAAAAATGCACTGGAAAAGTGGGAATAGTCGAAGAAATTTGTTGCAGGAAGGGTCGTTCTGTGCAATTATGCTTTCATAAATTCATTGTTTTAAATAATTCAAATTATTTATTTATTTTTCTAGATTTAAAAACTACACACGATCAACAAAATCAGGTCAGTGGAGTGCAGTCAAGAGTCATCGCAGCAGTTCTGTTAGAGGAGAAGGAGATAGCAATACATCTGGAACTGCAGCAGGCGCTGGAATTGTAGAAGGATTTGCTTTGAATGTATGCTACAAATTTTTGTATTAAACTGCGTATTAATCAAGTAAATCTATCTAGATAGATGGATAGATAGATAATAAAAATAACTTCACTGATACAAAATGTCTGAAATTTGCTGCTGTTGGATAGGGAATTACTCTTGGCTATGTTGGAAGTTAATCCATCCAAGTGACAGAGTGGTGACAATTCAGTGGCAATTTTCATTATAACGTGAAGATATTTGTTTATGATAACTTTTCCCATTCTTTCTTCTTTTTTTTTCTTTTCTTCTTTTTCTTTTCTTCTTTTTTAATCTTTTTTTCTTCTTTTTTCTTTTCTTCTCTTCTTCTTCTCTTCTTCCTCTCTTCTTTTCTTTTTCTTTTCTTCTTTTTTCTTCTTTTCTTCCTCTCCTTTTTTTCACCTTTTTTTTCTTTCCTTCTTTCCTTTCATGCTTTGAGAATTTTTAAGAGATGGGTTGAAGTATTGGGGGGGTTCTGGTGGTAGTGTTTTAATGTTACAAAACCATTACTGATAACATGAAAAAATGTGCTATTGGAGAATGACTGGTTAAATGTTAAGATATTGTAATTTTTTGATTGGTTGAAAGTGTAATGAACTTATTAGAAAGAATGTGGTTGACCTCACCAGAGTTGTTATGCTTTATTTCCTCATTAATCAAAAGTAAACATGCCAATGAATTAACGTTATCCATTTAATTAGTTAAAGTCAAACTTCACAAAACTCAAATCAGTGGTGTAATGAGAATTATTGCAAGAGGGGTAATAACTGAGGGCTCACTATTAATAATAATTGGCTTTGTAATGTAAGTAACAGTACAACTAATCCATGACTGCCTATTAAGTACTATCAACATCTTTACGTCACCTTTTGCAGGAGAGTTAGTTAGTTAGAGAGAGTTAGTTAAAATATTTTAAAACTTTGGAATTTTTAAAAAATGAATAAAACATTGTATGATATTTGTTATTAATAGGTCTTTTTTCACTGATTTCAACAAATAAGTAATTTTTTACCTTTTTACTACATTTTTCGCTGGTTTCGTCAATTTGAATATCATTTTAATGGTACTTGCTTCAAACTATATTTACGAGGTGCAACAAATGTTCACCACAGAATTCCTGATTAGCCTTTTTGATTTCCTCACTCAAATGTTGTAATGTTATGAGACCTATGTAAACTAAAGTTCCTGTGACGCTTATCGGCACCATTGTCAGTTCAGCCAATTTCACGATAAATAAAGGCAAAGATTTTCTTGTAAAGAACAGTCCAAACCCAAAGCCTGCAAGCTGAACAAAAGGAAGAAGTCTCGATTACGTCAGTAACATATCTAACTGATTGAGTTGGCCATCTGAAGTGGTTGTGATCAAATTTTTTACATCATTTTTGTTTGTGTTTAGTGCACTTTTATAGCATTTTATTGATCATTTTTGGCAATGTTTTAGCTCATCAAAATCCACCCCCTAGTGATAATGTTCATAGGTCCCAACAATGCTGTCCCCCTCCACACTGCTCTTTGAGACACCTAATTTTATTCAGACCTTGGTTCTTTTCCTCTAAATATTAACTTGCAGATTGTTTCTTGTTTGAACAATTAAATTAGGTCCTTTTCATCATGTTACAATTTTTTTTTTAATTCTATTTATTTTACTTCTTCCGTACATGTCACATAGAGTTGTTTACTGTGTTTTGGTAAAATAGATGAATTTAAAATTTTAACCAAATCTGCTTTATATCATTGGAGATGTTTTGATTGACATCAGCAAAGTACAGGATAATAACCTCCCTTCCACAAACACCCTCTGAGGGTGCTGTACTCCAAGGCCTTATGTAAGTAAAAGTTGAGCAACTCGTGTACAAAGCTATGTATTTTAAAATAAACATTACAAGAAATGATTCTTAATAATCTTGACATTCACAAACATAAAATGTTGGAAAAAATTAATGATTTAAACATTTTCAAGAAACTTTCATAAGTATTATCTACCTACCAAGTGACGTAACATAAATCATAACAAATAAGATAATCTTATTTTAACAACTAGGATCCTTCCTATCAATTATCTTTTTCAAGGGTATGCTATTTTATAACCAACACATTTTGATACCAAATGGTCCTAGATGCAGGAATGTGCGTCACTACCTGAAAGATCCAATGTGTTGCTTTGTGGAAGGCTGGCTTTCTCATGATTTGGTTTGGGCCACCGTTCTCACTTTTGTACACATGTTGTTTAATAAACCTCTCTCATTCATAAAATAATTTCATTTAAAGGGAGTAGTAATGTACTGACCTGCATTTCCATGACCACAACAAATGTACATTTCCACCACAAGTCACCATGAACAATTCAGAAAAAAAGTAACAGCTTCTTAGTAACACATTTCTTTATTTATATTTTGTCACAGACCTTGATGCACAGTTTTGGTAGATTCTTCGGAAGGTGGGTATTCTCCATTTCAACCAATAATTATTGGTGTTTACTGTTGCTTTGTTGCAGGATCCTACTGTGATAATCTCTGAACTCCAGCGTGCACGAGCAGTGATGTCTCTGTGTCGTTTGAAACTTGCTCAATACCGTGGTATTCTGTCTGAAGCCATTAATCCTGCAGAATATCCAGATGCCCAGCAAGCTCTAGATGGAATGAATGAGGTGAGAGGAAGGGCACAACTTGTTTGAAGTCCATCCAGGAGGGCTATGATGGTATTTGGCTGAGGCTGAAAGTAGCTTTTCAAGGGCTTATGAAGTTATAGCCTCAAAGTGTTATTAGATTTAGTAACTTAAGTGTGGAACATACAATTTTAAAGGAATATTGTCACATAGTGTAAATAAGATAAGATGTGATATTTTATATTGTATTAAGACAGTTCCACATGATGAATGTTCTTGATAAAGCACTTTATGAAGTTTGACAATCAAATTTGCAACTGAATTATAAAGTTACACATCGTTAAAATTTAATACTTCTGTTTTCATGAATCATCAACAATCATACTTTTATCCCAATAAGATTAAACTGTTGCCCTAGCAACAATATTCATGCATTAGTGCTTGGTGGCAAAAGAATTTACCATTACATAAACATTAATGTTGTCAATAATATATAAAGTTAAGAACAGAAATTTCTTCAACAAAGGAAATTATATTTTGCATCTTTATTAGAAACCATTGTTGACATCAATTGACCCTATTGATTGGAAGCTGTGGCATTTTTAATCTCTTGGTATTCAGCAGTGTGTTGTTGAGTGGAAGCAACCCATAAAAAATGTATGTATGTTGTATGTTTTTTTCATACATCAAACTTTATTATGTTTAATACTGAAGCAAAGAACCGATCATTATTACTATTTAAATGCACACTTAAGTGATAAAATCTACTGCTGTCCAGGCTGCTGTAAATTTTTGTGGTCAATTTTTTTGTAACTGAATAATAACATTGTATATTGACTGATGATGATCGTTTATAATTTTATTTACGCATTGGTGCAGACGATCACTAACTGTTCAAGAGTGCCTGGATCTGTTAGAAGAACCTTATTCCAATGGTTTAAGCCACCAGATTCTCATACAACCACCACTAGAACCAGAAGGTGCCGACATAGATGTAGATTCTGATCTCTTGGACGACAAAGTTTCAGGGAACTTTGTCCATTTCCAACTCGTATTGTGAGTTCTGGAGGAAGTTTATCTCATATTGAGTGGAATTCTGAGGAATTCTTTGAATGTACCACTGCTGGAAAGATAACCTCAATAATTTTATATAGAAAAATGGCTAGATAGGAATCCTTAATTTACTGTTGCAAATTTTAAAAAGCTTTTAAACCAGATTCAGAGAACGTATTGAAAGAGAGGGTTAAAGATCCAATTCATGCTTTTTCAACCTATTTCACCAAAAATTTAATTCAACATTTAGTTCTTCAGACCAATTTAATGTGCATTTCAGAAAGGGAGTCATTCCCTAAACATTACAACAGATGAAATGCTTAGTTTTGTAGGCATCTTGCTATTTTCTTCAAAGATGACTTGTATTTAGGTGTCTTGGGAATGATATGCCTCTCCTCCAGTTCCAACGCCTTGTCACAGTATCACTTCTGTGAACTTATGGGACACCAAAGCATAGACCAGGGCAAAGTGCTCCTCTGTCACTTGCATCTATTGCTGTCAGTGCACTCGATGGAAGAGATCATGTTGTAATCAAAGGAGACCAGGCTTTTAAAAGATGCACGGTATGTCAGGGCGGAATATGCTTTTTATAGCTATCTTGCAAAAAATGTAATATAGCTCTCCATCCTAAATGTTTTAAAATATTCCATTCCTAAATCTCTTACTTTGCAAAATCATAATTTTTACTTTCCTACGTTCACATAATAAATATACACTTTCTGAGTGAATAATAAAAACTTAAAAGGGTGAATTATTGTCTAAACTACAAGTATAATCAATTGGAAAATAATTGAAGTGTTTTAAAAAAAATGTAAGTGGCAATTGAATTTGTACATAAGTGCTTGGTGGCAAAAGTATGGCCATTCATTATCTAGAAATCTAAAAATAAACAAAGAAAAATTCACAATCAAGTGTTGATTTTTAACAATCTGTAGTACAATGCAGTTGTAAAACACCTATTTTGAAACAAAAACGTTCTGAACATTAATGGGTTAACTATGTTCTTTACGTCAATACAATACTTAATAAAATATTACAGTGACTAAAATATATTAAATATGGATTTAATATTGAAAACTGTAAGTAAAATATCCTCTGAAATACCTCTCACTTCCTTAACATTCCTTTTGTCTCCAGATGTTTTTATGTTTCTCTGGTAACATTTTTGCTACTGCAAATTTTCCATTTTAAAAATTTCTTGAGGATTAGAATTTACTTTGTTCATTTCATATGCCACTTTTGAAATCTAATGTTCCTTGCAATGAATTTTATATTAAACCACTGATTTGTACCATCAATATTTATTTTTCAATGGTATCATCTTTATAATTTAATATTTTAAAAAATTGGATGTGTTTTACTGCTTATTGCAGTATGTAAAGCAAATGCTGCACATGAAGAGATTAACTTATATTGTATTCCTGTTTGCTCAGTATTGCAATTTTCGCAACACGCCATTTCTATAAAAATAGACTGTTTTAATATTCAGAGAGTTCATCAAAATCGACCTGTGTAATTTTTATAAGCATACTTTTTTCTATCTAATAAAAAAATGTAATCCAAATATTTTGTACCATTTATAAAACATTTGAAAATCTCATTGAGGTTTCGTGTAAAGTACACCCCAAAATCAAAATATTCATTTCATATTCAAGTTAAATGTTATAATTTTTTGTGAAAATCCTACTTAAGGTTTAGCTGCTAGCTATTATTCTCAGATGGACAATCAGACATTTTGCCGTAAATCAATTTTTTGCTATCAAACCCTCCTTTAGGACTTTATAGGAGAAAGAATTATCCATTTTTCTGGTATTAGGGACCTATAGAACAAGTTTATCTGTCAAGAAAAGTGCTGTTTTTTACTGCAGCATTACAATACTTTCTCTTTCTACATAAGTAGTATGCAAGGGAGTAAAATCCATTTTTTCATTAAAAAAATAGATTTTTTTATCTGTCATTTTTAAAACTACATAAAAAAATAAACAAAAATCTTATGAAAATAATATATATATATATATATATATATGATATATATAAGAAAGCAATTATTCACAAAGAGAGAAGGGTTCATCTTAAATGTGTAAGCACAAGGACATATTCCCCGCTAGTGAATAACTCTGTTAAAACTAAACAATGCATTAGAAAGTTATTTTCATAAGATTTTGTTTTATTTTTTTAAGATAAGTTTTAAAAATGACAGATAAATATAATATCTATATTAATATATAATGTATAATATATATATATATATATATATATATATAATATATATATATATAACTTATATATATAAATAACTATATATATATTTATATATATAATATAACTATATATATAAATAATAAATATATATATATTATATATATTATATATATATATATTATATATATATATATATAATAATATATATAATTTATCTGTCATTTTTTAAACTTCATAATAAAAATAAACAGAATCTATGTAAATAACTCTATATATATATATATAGTGACTAATATATATTATATATATTATATTATATATATATATATATTATATATATATATATAATATATATATATATATATAATATTATATATATATAACTTTGAATTTTTGTTTTGCAGTTATGTAGCCTTTTGAACACTTGGAACCATGGGGATTTTCCCCCAGATGTGGAGCCTGCCTATGAGGCTGGAGAGGTTCGAATGGAGCCTTCTCAGGCTGTTCACACCACAGCACCTCAGGTTATACCTCCTCGACGCTCCGTTGCTCCTCCTAATCAGCTTGCCCTTCGTCCGGTTGCTGAAAAGGTTAGGAGGAGAGAGGCGGGAAGACCAGGGGGAGGAGCTGCTCTTCCTATTGCCTCCAGTCACAGTATTTTGAGTGTTCCCTTGGAAACTTTTAAAGAGACTTTTGAAGTTCATATGGGGAGCAGGAAAGGTTTTCCATTATCAGATCCCTTGAAATCCATGAGACATTTGAATAGGAACCATTCAGACTCTTCAGATGATCGTCCACTTCAGGCTGCCTCTTTTGTAGAATTTTAATGAAGTTACTTTATAGGGACAGTGTATATATTTATCTTTTTTATAAAGAAGCTATTGTGGGTCACTATTTTAGTGAGCTTTGTCAGTGAATTGTGAATGGTTGATTTCTGTGAATATAGTTGTCTGCTGAAAGATACTGGGAGTTTTATTTAGTATATTTTCATTAATCGTGCAAGATTAATAGTGTGACAGATACCTTTGTCTTTGTTTACGAAATGTTGATTCACATAACAGCGTACTTGCTGCTTTGGTCTGTGATATTGCCTTGTGGGTCTCAGGAAATTATTTGCTCATTTAAAATGTTTTACTCCTTGATTAGAAATGGGTATTCTGGGGATACTTACAGATTCATGGGAATTCTGTAAATGATAATTGATAAAACATACTGTTAAATACTTTTACTAAATTTGCCTACCTTTTAAGAGTTTCACAGTAACTTTGTGATTATCTCTATTTCATGTCTTTTATTTTCTTTTTCTTTATTGGTATATGTCAGCCCTTTGAAGTAAATATTGATGTAAAAATTATTGTATAAACTACAGTGCTTTATTCTTGGTAGTATTCAAACAAAGCATAATTTTCAAATAGAGTTGTGCACAATAGAGTTGTGATATTTTTATACATGTACTTCATGACAAAAGATGATGGAAATTAACTAATTTAGTTCATTTATATTCTTTTGCTATTTTTGATACATGAAAATTTCAAAATATATTCCTTTTTAACAGTTGTAGAAATGGTTTGAAGTACTGGATCAAAGACAAAAGACATAAAGTGTTGTGGGAGTTAAAAGGTAGAAAGTGTATCTAATAGTTTTTTTGTTGCTGTTATTCGATGTCTATTATAAAGGTTCTAATTAATGTGGTCTATCGATGAGCAAATATTTACTTCCTGGAACTTTCTTTTTAGTTCTTAATTGTGTTAATGTTTTGAAAGTTTATGCATGCTTTTTCTATTCAATTTGTAATTTTTGTTATTGTACAATACATAGAGTTCTATATCACTTGCAAATGAACATTGGGAAACATTTTCTTTTGACGTAATAAGTTTACCCAATATTGAAGGTGCTTTTTTATTTCTCTTATTACATTCCTATATATTGTATTTATCTGAATATAAGAAGTTTTTTTTCCCCAAGATATCTCATCCAAAAATTTGAAGCCTAACTATAATAATTATATTCTCGAAAGTATTCTCGATATCTCCTGCAGTTTGCCAGGAAATTCAAGCCAGTAAAAAGAGAATGGCATTGTTTGAAATGCAATATGAAAATAAAAATGGTTGCTGAGATTCTGTTCCACAGTATGCTAATGGAAGAGGCTATGAGGACTCTCAGTGTGATGCCTTCTGAGTGCAATTCTGCATTTTGCTAGATATGAAAGAAAAACAAGAAATAGTCAAACTTGTAGACTATCTCCTGCATTACCTCCGGAATGGAGGGACGGAGTTGTACGAGTTCTTAGTACTCTGCTGAGTCACAAGAATATTCAATGATGTGAATTTCAACTACAATCTGATAAAGAATTTGAGAGAACTATTTAAAAATCAGAAGCCACAAACAAGGTGTCACATGGAAGACTAAGAATGCAATTGGAAGGCATAAATCTTTTAGAGGGGCCTAAAACATCAGAGGACAACACAGAATGGGAGGAAGACCAAAAAGAGGATACATGTGAAGATGAAAAGGGAAGTGACAAAAGTCATGATTATGATGGTTTTTAAGGATCAAGAAAATAGTGATAGCTCAAGCAATAAGTTTTATAATTGTCTAGTTAGTCAATGTTCAGTTTAATTTGACTAAATAGAAAGAATTAATTAAAAAAGAAGAAAAAATATCAGGAGGTCTTTTCAAAATTAGGGGAGACATATTATATTCAGGTAAATAGGGTATATTTTTTTTTGTACTGCTGTCATTACTGCAAGGCAATTGTACTGCAAATTTTAAATTTCCTAGTAGATTCGTAATATAATCTGAAGTATTTGCAATTTTTTGCTCAGTATTCTTTGAACAGAACTTAAATACTAATCAATTAGTTGGAATAATTTATATTAATAATGAAGGGATGTAAAAAATTAGTGTGTGTAACCTGATGTGTAATACTTCACAACTGTTTTAATGTTTTGAAATGTTTACATCAGATCAGCATTCAGAACATATTACATTTAGTCATTTGTTGTTTGGTTACTTCAATTGGATGTTAATTACACCTATTCCTAACTCAGTTCAGTATTGGGCTACCACATTCTATTGTGAAATTAGTAAAGTAAGAGAAAAGTAAAGTAATGTCAAAATTGGATTTAACCTCAAAAATCGCATTATTTTGTGTATTGATAAACAAATGCTTAATTGTGGAATCTCACAACTTGAACTTCAGTAATTCAAATGGTTCAATTACCTACATTTTTTAAATTCCCTTTTACCATCCCTTTCACTTTATAGACTTCTTACCCCAAAATTAAATTCTATGGCTTTCAAATTACTGCCATTCTTTAATCTATCAGTTCATGTGAGGGGACAATATAGTTTTATATTTCTAGTAAGTAATAGATTCATTGCTAGTTTGTGAAGAATCAGTGAAAATTTTTAATTAAAGCATGTTTTTGAATAAATACTTTTTAATGCTTACATCTTTGAATATTCTGGTCTCAGAAATGTTCTTGGTGTGTTTAACATTGGTTTAAGTGTGGCATCTGCTGGAATGAAATGTGTGGGGCAAGTCATTTCTGTGGTTCCCCTGACCACTTCCAGGTGAATGCCAGAGCAACACTAGAAAACTGATTATGGATTGCATGTGATCCTTCCTTTCTTGCCCCTTCCTCATTCCTAATGTTAGGGCTGAGCTGTGGACCGATAATCCATCCTCACATGAATCATCCCTCTAATTCACAAAATCTCCAAGTGTCAGAGATGTAGATGGTGAAGCTGTTTGTTCTTGTATACAGAAAATGTCTGATATAGTGGGGAAAAATGGAATATAAATAATATTTTTTCTTCTGTGTTGTAAGTTTTCTGTTTTATAAGTACTTAATTGTCCTGAGTGACTTAGCTTCATTGTGGCTCTGCCTAAAAAGTACCTAAGTATGCCAAAGAGTGCAAAATATTAGAGCAGACAAAAGGTCATTAATGAAGTGTAACAAGAGAGTTGTGGTGCACTATTATGATTCAAAGTACTTTGTACTTGAATCATTACAAATAGTCACTTCATCCATTATGAAATGAATATTACATGCAGTATCACCTTAATCTAAAAATTCTGGTATTTATGACATCTTAACTGTCAATAGAATGTTTAATTATCAGTATCATGATAACTTGAGAATTTTTTGTGTAAATTTTTCAAATTTACTGTCAAGGGAGAAAAAGAAGAAAATACAATTCAGAATTTGTTCATACCATTGTGCCAATTTCTGGTTCCTCTGATTTCTTGAAATCTGTGTGTTGACACCTTGGCACCTTGGAATTTTGCTGCCAAACCTCTTTAACTTGGTTAGGCCTGCTTGTAAGTATAAACTTCTTTATAATTACTGCTAATGAAAGATACCTACACATTTGCCTTCTGTTTTATTAACTGCTCTTGGGGTCCAGGTGTTATTTAAAGTAGACTAGGTTGTTTTACATATTCATATTTTTTGGTCACAGTATTTCAGAGAGTTTTCTTTGTTGCTGTAAATTAGTCTTGTTGAAATATTTTTGTTCAATTTATTAGTTTTCCATTCACTTAGAATCTGAGTACTTTCTTTAAGTACAAACACGCTAAATTGCATTCTTATTAATACTTTCATATCATATCATAATGCAATATTGGAAGGTTTGAATGTGAAGTAAAACACTTGAGCTTTTAGTTCTTAAGTCTGATTGTTGGTAAAACAAATGTCCATGTATGTGTATGGTTTCAAGATGATACAAGTATTTTTGTTATGATCTCAAAAATTCAAATTTACATCTTACAGTTCACCTAATATTTTAAATTTCTATCACCCAAGGAAGTAGATCATACTTTATTTGGTATGTAGCAGTTTCAAAATACATTCCTTTTAGTTGTTATTCTTTTTAAAATTTCAGCATGTAGTAGTAGAACTGGCTTAAATTTATAATTTTAAGTTTGATAGTACATGAACGTAAAATGTAATCATGTAAAGGAACATTTTATGAAATACTCAGCTGCCATTTTGTTAATAAATCTTTGAATTTTCATGTGGTTTTTTGGTAACAATTTATTACATATTTCCATCCATAAATTATGTAACATCAATTTAGAATATTTTGAATACCCCTGCTTCCCTCTGAAACGCATGTTTGAACGTGCTCCCTAAATAATTACTCAATTATTTGCAGCAATTAAAATAATTAAAAATAAATTATATAACATATCTTTTTAATTTTTTGTGTTGTGTATTAAAATTTATGATAATTAAAGTCAGAATAAGTTAGTGATGCTCATTGCAGCTAACAATAACATTAGGGACACTTTTTGAATGAAGGAAGACAATAAAACTTTTGACAAGCCGTGCACATGCCGTCATGGATGATGCACAGCCAAGAATCTACAAATTTAATTGGATTTTTGAATTAACTGTAGATCAGTTTGGAATATTTTCTTTGCAATCTAACACATTTAATCAATATAGACCGTTGATAAAAAAAATATTGTAACAATTTGTACTTAATATCTTTTTAAATTTAATTTGCTAATATTTTAATGTTTTACTCTAAGTCTGAATAAACAAAATTATTGCAGAGAACATTGAAAATTTAAAAAAAAGGAAATATCAACATTATTATTATTATTATTATTATTATTATTATTATTATTATTATTATTATTATTCACATATGGGCCACTACTGGACCACCAAACATATTTCTTCTCTCTGAGACCCAGTTGTATTCCTATCCTGAAAGAAATCAAACTTGTG